GGTGCCTTCCAACCCAGACTGTTCTATGCTTCTGTACTGCTGTGTTGTAAGAAGTATTTGTGCTAAACGGGTTGGTGGGTTTTTTATGCCTGAATGTAATGTCAGTGGGTCCTGGAGCTTCCATTCCGCTTTTCCCTCTGACGGCTTGAGCTTCGAATTCAGATAAAATAGCAAAATGCAAATGAGGGACTGTTGGAAGTTCTATCATTCTAGATACCTCTTAGTAACCTTAATTTACCAAAGGAGGAGGAAGAAATTGCTTGTGTGCATTCATGTGAAGGGCTGGCTGGGGGGCTGTGACCTTCCCAGGTACCCTGCTTAGGTAAGTGGCCTATTTGCTGGTCTTCTGTTGCTACAGATACTAATGGCAGCGGAGTGCATGTCAGGCCTGGGTACCAGAGAGAGCTATGTCTGCTCCTTGTGCATATGGAGAGTGGGCAGACAGAGCTGCCTTCCTATTCGTGTGTGTTTTTTCTGGGAATTCTCTTGCCCACGTGCTGTTGGTTTGAGCTGTATTGATGTCCTGTGCAGTAACTGTGAAAGCATGTTAGGAGCACGGAGAGCGTGAAGCGTACCGTAGGTGATGTGGCGGTGAATAAGGAGGAAAACACGCAGGGCAAACAAACAGAAAGGCAGTTTTTGATATCTGAATTTCAGTGCTTGGAGGTTATTTGCACAAGTCTAGGAATGGTGATTTAACCCACACACTGTAGATGGGGGCAAAAACATGTTTAAACATCCCATTCTTCAATCTCCCCTTTATCTGTAAGGCAGAACACAGCATTTCCTTACCAGATGCTAGAAATGCGAGGCAGGAAATCCTCTGATGGCAAACAGCTCTCTGACCTTGACGTAGACTGAAGCACAGCTGTCAGGTACTGCTTTCAGAGATTTAAATACTGTTTGGAAAAACTGACAGTGCTCCAGCCATTTCTCCATGGAGGATTGTTTTAGCCAGGGAATAGGAAAATGAGGAGTGATGGAAGAACCTGATGGCAAGAGCGTAAACGTTCAAAGGTGGCCTCAGCAGCCCTTTCCTGACGCTCTGTTCACAGCGAGCCTGACGTTGTGGCTGCTGGACAGCAGGGAATAGGCCAGGATCCCTCTGGACCTTCTGTTTTGCTTCTGAATATGGTAACAGCTCTTGGTGTGGGTTTTTTTTGCACATTCTCTCCCCAGTTTCTTTGTTTATGTACCAGTTATGCTGGGGACCATGAGAGGTGCCTTCCACCGCTGCACAAACTCCTGCAGGCAGCACTTGAAGAGGTTGACGAGGGCGATGTTGGCATTAGGGGCTAAATTACTATGCATGAGGCATACTTGACTAGACTTATATTTGCCCTTTTAGAACAGATTAAAGGTTTAGTGAAGTCTTGTGCTTCGGTTTCTGGCATCGCTGGAGTTTCTGATGAAGGGGCTTGCTTTAGCACAGCTTCGGTTCAGATTAGCCTCTGGCTTCTTGGAATTAGCTGTCCGAAGTGCTGCTCGTTTATTTGCAGCTGAAGTAAATTTTTGTTTCCCATCCTGCATCCTTCCTCTTGGCTTTCTCATCCTTGTGGATTTTCTAAGGTATTTCTCTTGCAAGGAGAATATAATTTGCTTTCTTGACTTCTCAAGGTTCACTCTTCTTTTGGATGCAGAGGCTGTGACGCCTGCATTCAGTGGAGCTATCGTAAATAGCAATCCGTCCTGCACATCAACGGCAGCTCTTCTATAGTCATTCTCTACGTGCCCATAGGGACAGAAGAGTGCTGGAGTACTTCCTTAAGACTTTGGAGGGTGCTACATGGACAAATATGGATAAGAAGAATATTACCTTTTCCAGACTTGTTCCCCATGCCTCTTGCCTGCCTGGAAGTGGACCTGGGTGTCCCCCTCCTCCACCCTGTGCTGTGGGGTGTGATGTGGACACCCTTGTGCTTCATAGGCTGTAGAGGAAAGAGGGACACTGGCGTGTCACGGTTCACTGCCAAGTTAGTCCAAAGGTCATGGATGATGGTAACTGTAAAGGTGGAGGAGCTGCTTAGCCCAGTCTCCGATGATTCTTTGTGCAGCATTCAGTCTCTGGATCAATGTGTTAGCCTTTCATCTTTGGAGGTGTTTGTTCAAATACTGACTGATTTAAAAGTAAGGGGCTTTTGGATGAACAGGAAGAGTAAAGGGGAGACCTGGAGCTTATTCCCCCTCCCCCATTTGTGATTCAGCCCTTCTAAGTATGTAATATCACCGAAGGTGCCTCTTCCAAAGAGACATCGATCAGGAGGTGGCAAAGGTTTTTCATGTGTGAAATGATAGGCATTATGTCTGGTTGAACTACTGTTAACTAAACCCGTATTGCTATTCTTACAAAACCGTGCTGAGTCTTAAAGTTCCTTTCTGTCTCGTAAAATAATATGTTTTAAAAATCCGTTGTCTTGCGTTCAGGAGAGGAAATACTCTCGTAGTATTGGAGAAGTAAGAAGATAACTCAGTGTTGCCACATGTGAGATTGTCTCCCTCTAATTTCACTGGATTGAATGAATTTGTGTGTTAACATCATTTTAATCTGCAGCATGTCATACTGCAGGCACAGGGGACACTGAATTTGATGCACTGGATCAAAGCGTAGGGGGTATGCAGGTTGTCAGAGGTGTGCTCGTACACACTTAATGTACCTCTGTTTAACCTATGCACGTGAGCATGGTTGCAGATAACGACACCCTGTGATTGTTTTCAAATTTCCACCGGGTTTGGAAGCCACTCTCTTCTTTATGTCCTGGCTCACCTTCCCTGAATTGAGCTGCTGCCGTTCTGTGTACGCCCAGGTGGTGCAGTGAGTCGCCAGCGGTGTCAAATCAGCAGAAATGTAATCACTGGCGTGATGGACATCAGCTTAAGTGATTGTTGGATTTGGCCAGGCTGTTAGAGCAGTGTCACTGGGCAAGCGATCATCACCATGTCGGGATGGGGACCCTCGGTGCTGAGCTGAGGCAGCGGGCTCATCAGATACTCAGGTTTACTCTGTATGTGTTCAAGTATTGACTTTCTCCGTAGAAAATGCTGGCAAGGCATCTGGGCCTTTGACTGCTTGCCAGTAATCCGAGTGTTATTGTTATCTGTAATTTGAATGTTAGTGTCTGTGTGTTTGCCAACTGACAACTCACTTTGTCACCTTTCTGCATCTACTTCCCGAGTGGCTGGCTTTATTTCATCCACACTTCGTCCAAAAAACGGAGTGTAAATTCTGAGTCTTGGGTAAAGCTGGTAACAACTCAGATTTGTCTTTCAGGCCCATCCAGAGCCAAGCTGGAAGTAAATGCTAATATCCAGCAAAGAGGATGCTGTGCTCTTGCTGTATTGGAAGGAGCCAAAAAGCCCTCTGCTGAGCTAAAATCTCTTTCAGGAGTTCTGTTACTGCTCTTGGGGAGGGATCCTATATGCACAGCTTTGGTCAAGTTTCTCCTCGCAAAACTGTGTTTTGATGCAGACACTGCACTGGAGAGTTTTTAGGCTCCTTCTGGCTCGAATGCACGTAGATGTCTTAGAGGTAATGCTGATAACCCTTTTTAAAGTGCGATCTGGCCCTTGAGCTGCTTTGTGTGTCTGCAGTGTGCTCACTTTTAGGGTGTGGTTTGGTTGGCTCCCAGGCGAAGGCTTGCCCTTGCTCCAGCTGTGGCCTTGAACAGCTGCTTCGCTTTCCGTTCACCGACTTGGGCTCGCTGCTGCCCTGGCTGACCTTTCCTCGTGGGAACCCTCCGTTCGGCCTCTGCGGGCCCTCAGCAGAGGAGCTTAAATGTTGACATCTCAACTGTCAAGCCTAATTTTTATGGTTAAGACTCCATTGAGCTGACTCAAGCTTTCACCCTTGACAGCTGTTTTGAGGGTCTTTGCAGGCTGGGACAGAGAGTGCCGTATGTTGTGCTGGACTCCGTTTTAAAGGCGATTAACATGGGTGGTGTGAGGTTGCGGGCGCCAGGAAAACATACTGGCTGACGGCGTGCCGCAGCTTGACTTCTGCACGGAACAGCATCAACGTGAAGTGAACAGATAACGTGGATTTGACTAGGATTGGATAATAAGGTCAGGAGAGCAGTTCTCAAATACAGCCGTCATTTGATGGTGGGGTTTTCTTCCTATCCCGTAGTATTTCACATATTGAAACGGCAGTTGCTTTGTGTTTGCTCTGGCCACACATAGTCACAGAAGGGAAAAAAAATGTCCCTGTATGAGGGCTCGTGCCCTCAGCAGCTCAGGGCGGACACAGCCCGGCATGCTCTCTTGACTGAACTAGAATTAGCTGTGACCATGTTGTTTAGCTTGGAACACAAACCTTTCCGGAGATAATTATTTTAACTAGTGCGCTTTCATTATATTACTGCAATCAAAAACAAGTCTGTTGCTCCTCTGAGTAATATTTCAGGGGCTTAAGGATGACTTACTCCTTTGGTTTTAAGGAGCAAACATGACAATTAAAAGCATGTCTCTGAGGACACGTTTTTTAGACATTCCAGTTACCTGTTATCCTGGTGAGGTGTTACTCACATATTTTCAATTTTCCATGCTTGAATTCTTCCTGTGTCTTTTTATTATTACCAGGAATGAATGTGTGACCTTTTTGCTGTGGAGCTATTTTCTCAGAACCCAAGCTTGTATCTCGCCTGAAGCCACCCTGCGTCTTCTAAGGCGTTGCAGCATCCTTTGGTGGTGCCTAGGAGAGCAGCTTGTATAGTGCCAGTGACAGATAAATACCATAAACGCAGGGGGTTGAGTGAAACTCGTGTTTGGGCCCAGAGGTCCGACCAAGGCCTTGCCTTCCCTTCTGCCGTTTCCATGGCAGGATTTGTCCCGATGAGCCGCTCTTTGTGGCAGATGTGTGCTGCTTTCCTCATCACTTGTTCATGGTTGGCCAGAATCCTTTTTATTGGTGTAGGGTGATCATTTCGGGATGCTGACGACAACTGGGGGGTTTGTACTTGATACTTCTGGAACAATAACATGCTGTCTTGCCCGGTATTGGCAAGGGCAAGCTGAAGGAGTTTGTAGGTTTTAGCAAGGGGGGCAGTGTCTGGTATCTGGAGGACAGGTGAGACTTGGGGTGCTGCAGAACAGGACTCCCTGTTTTGTCTGCAAGGGCAAATCGGGCTTCTTTTGGTCAGGAGAAGAATGGAACTTTGTTCTTCACTCAGTAGCTCTGTCTCCAGTTTGCTTGCCAACTTGCTAATGCTGTCTGCCACCAATGACCAGCACAAGGGTTAGTGTGGAATTTGTTTCTGAAATGACCATCAGGGACGTATATTTTTCTTCTGTGTTTTTAAACTTCACCGAGGGGAGTTGGGTGATTTTCACCTCTCTGAGTTACTGCTTTAGGCCATGCTCAGAGCTAAGTGGGTGGTAGGTGCTGCATTGACATGTGTTCAGCTTACAAACCATGGAGAGGGGGTTTCACAGTTACAATGCATAAAGATTTAAGTCCATGGAAGTCACACTTAAGTCTACTCTAAATCCCTTCTATACTGCCAGAATGGTAACTACCTTCGGTGTAAATTACAGGCAGTATTAACACTGAACCCCCTCCGCCCCACACCTTAGATCTGTAGTACAGTTATGTAGCAATTGAAAAATAAATCACAGTTATAGAGTGTCTCATAGCTCATGTAATCTCAGCACATGTGGCATCCTGGTCTGTTTTCTGCTTTTATTTGCTGTAGAAAGGGTGCTTGTGTGCACATGCAGAAAAACAGTATGCATGTGTACTTACATGGGTGTGTTTCATCCTTAAAATACGCTAAATAAGTCTTAAAGAACCTGTGGTTTTTTATTTTCATGCTGTCAAAGGGTATATACCTACATTTTAAAAATGAGAAAATTGTTTTAACTTGCACAACCTAATGTCCACTCTCTTTTCTGTCTTACCTGATAGCGATAACCTGCTACGAAGAGCTGCGTGCCAGGAAGCCCAGGTAATACCATTTAAAGTGATAAAATCAGATTAAAATCTCCCCGTTATCTTGGTTGTGCAGGGCTCCTGAGATTTTCCCAGCGACGTGACAGGCCTTACAATGATGCCATCTGTGTTCTTTTGCTGAGGTGCCAACGCACTGGGAACTTAGTGGAGACAACCGGTTTGCTGATTGCTGACCAGAAAGCCAGTGTTCAGAGAGAGAGTTACTCTCTGACTATACTGACTATTGCATTTTGTGGTTTGTGGCCTGCACAGGCAACCAGCAGGCAACCAGCAATGAACAGATTCCCATACTGCAGCATTCCCACAAAGAGCTCTTGTCCATAATAAGCAGTACTGCAGGGGCGCAGGTGCTGGTGCCCAGGGATGGCATTGCTGCACAGGTACCGCTGACTGGCCCCGATTACCTCGGTGGTGGGCTGTAGGGTTTTAAGAGTCTGTCCCACAAATAAAGTTTATTCTACACCTGCTTCTCCACGCCATATGCTAGAGATTTTGCAGGGTGTAACAGTGCTCCCATCATTGCTACGTACTGGGGCCAGAGGAGAATGGTGAAAATCATTTTTCTCATTAAAGAATTTATCTTGAGATTACCCTGCTTCAGTGGTACACCTGAATAATCCCAATTTTAGCCTGTCTGCTGTTGAGGGAAAGATATTCAGAGCAACTTGATTTGGGCAGTGAAACTTCATGCCAGAATAGATGTGAGGGAGCTCAAGTCTTATGAAAGAATAAGAAAAATCTTTTCCTGAAAATATTGCTTTCGTAAATTATACTTATAGCTTCAGAGCCAAATGCATTCCCAACTCACAGTATCAGTTGTTCTTGATTTTTTTTTTTGTTATGTTTTCAATATTAATTTTTACGGCATAGTATCAAAATGATACAAGTTCTTTATATTGCTAAAAATAGCAGTTAATGCCTCAGTATTTGAAGCATGCCGACCAAGCTGAAGAGTTTTTTTAAAAGGCACTGATGAAATGGTATGTAAAGAGACATTAAAAGACCCAGGTGCTGTCAAAGAGGTGTAACTGCTAAGGAAAGACTTGTACAAGAAGACAGTTCTGTTGTGGAAATCCTGACTGTCCTGTATTTTAATTCCGGTCATTAAGTGACGGGATCTATTCCATTACAGCCTAGCCTTTTAAATGAAAGGGCAAAACCACTGTCAGTGGAGTTTCCGACAATTTCAGTGGTTAAAGCCTGGGAAAATATCCTGCAGAAGACTCCTGCATTAGTAAGGAGTCAGCTGGAAAGCCTAGTCATCAATTCTGGCTGTGATTTCCACTCTCGCTACTGTGTCGGTGCCTCGTGCTGCATGTGAGCACGCGGCAGTAAGGCACTGAGTGCCCCACACGTTCCTCAGGGCAACGAAGATCTGCAATCGCTTTAAAATGCTCCTGGTGTCTATAGCCCCCCGTAAGCGCTGGGGAAAGACAGAGACAGACTCACTCAAGAAAAAGTCTAGTCTGAGTGAAGTGGGGAGGTTTCCCTATTATTTTTACATCAGGTTTTTAAGCCTGTTGCAACGCCAAATCGATGAGGCGCCCACCTTCCTGCCCAAGTATCCGCTACAGCAGTACTTCATGCAGAGGCCCCACCATGCATGCCAGTTTATGGTGACAGCCCTGGGGAGGCAAAAGACTCTGTAATAAATAACCATCATATGTAAAACCTTTTTCATCTCCTTCTCTGGAATAAGCCAGTGAACTTCCTTTGCAGATGTGGTCTTGCTGATGGACCTTGTTGTTCCTGAGCTCTGGGCACGTGTTAACGTGGGCCTGTGTAGCTGGCAAACAGTTCCCTATGTGAAGCAGGGCTGGTTTTCCATAAAGGAATGTAGTTTCTCTGTTAGCATAATAAAGCATTATAAAGCCTATGTATAAAGGGGTTTTTTACAGTTGCAAAATAGTGAGCTGCATCTTAGAAGGCCAAAATGCAGTACCTGGAAGTGTGCATTTGAGAAGGAAGTGAAAAAGACATGAACTTTCCTAAATTACACCTTCTCATACATATATTAAATAACCATTTTTACGGTTATTAAATTAAAATTAAATTTTAATTAAAGCCAGCTTTAAGTTGTCTTTCCTTATGTTGTGCTCTGAGAAAAAAGGACTTCAAGAATGTTGCATCGTTATTTTTTTATTTCCTGTCTTAAAAAATCATCATTTCCTTTAGAAATGCCCCTGTATGTAACACAGATGTCCAAGTATATTACATAAAGAAGTGATTATGTCATTACTCATCAATTCTTTGAGCCTTGTTAGGTTGTTTAGAGCAAACAAATACAACACGCGGCGTCCCCCAAGCAAATAATTAATTGTTTCTAACCACTGTAACATGCTGGAGGTCCCCTAAATTTCCTGATTCCTGCCCAACAATTGCAGTAAAATGAGTTGGTCTGTTTCCAGCTGATTTTTTGGATGAAGCATAAGAGCTGTTGATTTGTTTCCCTTTCTTTGAAGATTCCTTTGCTGTCAGCCACTTCTCCCTTTTTTTTCCTTTGCTGAAGAAAAAAATTGAATGTCTTGAGTGTCGCAGCCAACCGCACACTTCTTTTAACTGAGGTTTCCTGAGCAAAGTTGGCAAGTAGAATTAATTATAAATGTAAACAGGTAACGATCACTAAAATCTGCTGCGCTTTTGTACAGTGTCCACCTTCAACATAAAAATTCCAACTTGTAAGATAAAGGGTAAAAAAACAGGGGCAGTTGACTCTGTCTCGTGTTCAGCACAGAAATCTTTTGTTCGTACTTTATTTCTGGGGCTTCTGGGTGGTACAGCTGAATACATCGTCATCCTTTATTCAAACCAGTCTGATTTGTTGTGCTGGGGAGGGTGCCATTAGGTCACCTAAAAGAGCTTTACGGAGTGGGAAGGAACATGCGTGAAGCTTTGCCTTTTCTTGCCCCTCCTGTGCTGAAAAGCTATGGAAATAGGTACAAATGGTTAAAAGGTATGAGAGGCTGTATGGCGTAACTCTCAGAGAATTTAAAATCGAGGCACCTACTCTGAAGTGGATGAAAAGGTGAAGAGGAATTCAGTGATTTTTAGATGGAGATGTTAGGAAGAAAAAATGTCTGAGAAACAGTGGGCTTGCTTATGGGTTGGGGCAAGTCCTCTGATGATTCTCTTTCGTATCTTCAAAAGCTTAAGCAGAGAAGATACAAAAATGAGCAGAAGAGACGTGAGAAATGGAGTACAGAAGGGGAAAAAAAAGGCCGAGAGAAGGTGGCAGGCGGGTGTATGAGAATTACATGAGGAAGGACAATCGCGGAACCTTGGAGTCAGGGATAGTTCCCTAGATCTCTGCCTGTGGCAGAAAACCAGAGGTTGACTCAAAGGAAATGGTGGTGGAATTGTAAAAATGAGCTTGTGACAGCGGTGGGAGCTGTTGCTCAGGGTGCAGGTCGGTGAGTAGCGGACTTGCACCATGGCTGGAGGTGGAAGTCATTCCAATGTTATGGGGCTGGAGAGCTCGTTGACGTGCACGTTTTTCTGAACTGCTTTACCAACGTGCTTAAAAGATAAACTGAACTCTGCTCTTTTTATCTTGCTTAGGCTTTTGGCAACCAGCTGCTCCCTTCCAGTATGCCACTGAAGAAAGCAACAGTGTTCCTCAACCCAGCAGCTTGCAAAGGGTAAAATTGCCCCTTCCCTGCACTCATGTGTGAGGCACCCTTCCTGTATTTTTGTTCTGCCATACGCTGTAACAGCCAGCCAGATTTTGGAGCTTATTTTTGCCTCCCTCTGCTGCCAAGCTGGTGTTGTGTGACCATGCCAACCTTTATTTGACCAAAATTATTGGGATGAGAAATAGAACTAAATGCTTGAACTAAAAGAGTGATTTCTAAATGTGGTGGTGGTTTTTTTTTGGGGGGGGGGGTTTTCCTTTTACCCTGTGTTTTGGCCTTTGTCATTCCTTCGCATGTGGAATTCCTTCGTACCACACTTGTGTATGTGATGCGTTTCCATCCTCAAAAACTGTAGAAATAAGAGATGACCTTGATTGCTTCAAGACTTGAAGTTAGCCAGCAGTCACCTTGCTTCTCTGGGAATGTGTCCTTGAAAGGGATGTGCCCACAAACTGAGAGGCTAAATATGGGCTCGGAGCAAGACTCCTGGAAGAGGTCGGCTGCTATTTTTGCATCCTCGTTAGCAGAAAAAGAGCTATCTTGGATAGGATGTGTGTCTGTTTCTGCTGATCACCTAAGCTGTGTATCAGTTGCATCTTGAGGCGGGGAGTTGTCAGTAACAATACGAAAGGAATTACGTGTCTGACATGGCAGTGCTTGGACTTGGGTGCTTGTGTTCAAAGCACCCAGGACTGGGAAATGCAGCCTTAATGAATTTAGACTCCTAGTCTTGTGTTTCTGCTTGTTGTAAGCAATTTAGAGTTAATGGTGTAATTATTTTATTATGCAGATAGAGGCAGAAAATGCATGAGTCCTGTAACAGAAGAAAGTGGGATAAAATTTTGCTTCTAAACTAATTTAATAATGTGTAACAATAAATACATTTTTTTTAAGTTTTTGAAAACCTAAATGGGCCTTCCTTGTGGTCATAAAAGCTAGTGCTCTGTAAGTCATTAACTTTCTAATAAATTTCTTTCTGGAGATCTTGTTTGGGTTTTTTTTAATTAGTTTTGGAGAAAGCTAGATAACCTCTTACGCATTTATAAAAGCTGCAATAAAAAGCTGACATCTGCGATACGAGCCTAGAAATGTAATACATTTGAACCAAATGAAATCTCATCTTTCCTGACTGGCAGGTCGAGTGACTGATTGTGTAGATTGTGTGCTCTGTTTTTAAGTAGATTGCTTCTTGTTCCTCATTTGGTTTTTTTTTTTCCTTTTTATTTCTTTTAGACACCAGAATAATGAAATAGTTTTTATTCTGTGTTTTCTAGCAAAGCCAGTAACCTTTTTGAAAAGAATGCTGCTCCAATTTTGCACTTATCTGGCTTGGATGTAACTGTGGTTAAGGTAAGAGCTGTTCTGTTAATGCAGATACATTGTCTGCTCTGCTTTGTCCCCTTGAAGAGCTGAAATTCAATTCTGGATGCATTTGAAATTCTCAGTTGTCCTGCAGACATCTTCTGAGAAGAAATAAATACCGAGATATTAAGCTGGTACTTAATCTTTTTAACTCACAGTTAATTTACAAACTGTGTACTGAGTTTTTAGTGTTCAGCTAAAGCAGTACACATGCCTGTCTGCCTAAAGCAGCCCTTCTATAATTCATCTTTGAGGGAAAACTCTCTAAATATTTGAGTGCTGGCCAGTGGTGCGTGCCCACTGCTGTTGAAATCATCAGTTCTGCATGAACTTGCAGAATTCAAAAGCGAGGGACTCTGACGTGCCGTGGAACTGTTCAGATTAATTAAAAGTAACATTTTATTTTTCCACTGAAAATAGCTCAGTGTGTCCCCAAGTAGTTCCACGTTCCCATCACAAAAGCAGCACGCTGGGCTGCTTGAAGCGAATTAGCAGGGAGGCTTTCTTCAGAAAGAGAAGAAAAGTAAACATGAAGGGATTCTGATCTTTTTGCAGGTTTTTGAGGCTGTGATGTGTTTAATAGTCACTGTGTCCTAGCAGAGAAGTATTCTAATAGCGTATCTTCCTGACTTGGAATCTTCTTCAGGAGGCGTAGTGTTAAAATGCTGTTTTCATTAATGCCTCCCTCTGATCACTGAAAATGCATAGTCCCACCCTAAGAGAAGAAAAGTCTTTTGCAAGACTTAAAACTGATGCTCTGTAGCTTCAGACCTGCCAAGTTAGCAAAACAGGGCTGGGCCAGTAACCGAGCCTGGGATGTCCCTGTAGAAGACGTTCACTTTGTGGAAGGTGGGTTTGATGGTGCAGAAGGTCGGCGTACACTTGAACCGCTAAACGCGTTGCCAGCCGCTTGCTGTCGGGCAGCAGCCTTTGACGTAGCAGATTCTGATTTTCAGGAGACACGCTTAAACACTTTGGCAGCTAAAGTTGCTGGGACTTTTTCTGCAAGAACATCGTTTGCTTCTGGTTTTGTTTCAGTGTAAAACTGCCGGGAAATAGGATTATTGCTGCAAAATTCTAGGTTGGTGGAATAAGATCTACTCTGATATTTCATTTAGCCTTTGTGTGTGTGTGTTTGCTTGCACATACTGTGTTAGGCAGCAGGCTTGTTTTGTAAGCTGAAGAAATTTCAGTGAATGGAAGTAATACACAGTACTGTGCGGCTGTAGGAGAATAACTGTTAAGCAAATGGATAGATAATGTTTTTTCTTTAGAAGAGGAATGATAGTCACTTGAGTTCTCACGTTTGGATTTCTCTTTCTTCAGACTGATTATGAGGGACAAGCGAAAAAGCTGCTGGAACTGATGGAAAACACAGATCTGATCATTATCGCAGGAGGAGATGGCACAGTACAAGAGGTACTCGAGGAACTTTGTCCTGGTTTGTTGAGAATCATAGTCAGGCCGAGGGTGAGAAGATGGAGCCTGTGTAATGTAGCAACATCATAACAGCTATTACTAGAGATTTGTCCGTTTTAGGATCTCTGCTTTCAGTCAATGTTATACTCTTCTGGGGATAAGAAAACTCTGCTAGTTGTTACTAGTCTAAAGGTGATGATGGGAGTGGGGGCAGAAGGGCCGTGTGACAGAACTATCTTCTGGAATTTTATTCTACAGCGAGAAAGTTATGTGGGAGACACAATTCTAACTGTTTCTTTCTGTGTAATGTAGCTGCAGTGGTGCTAAGTTTCAGAGTTCATTCCTCTCTGTGCTCCCCAAGAGGAATGCACCTTTTGCTAAGTGGGTATCAAATAATTTAAAAATTACGTGCGAGTGATAACAAAGCACACGATATATGTAATAAATGCCTATTGTCAAGATGATTAATGCCAGGAGCAAACTAGCAGCAGAACGGGGGAATACTCTATTTTTCAAGGAGGGCTGGATTTTATTAAAGCTTTTCCTGGAATACTAACTACTGGCTTCCTAAGGCAATGGCTAAGTGAAATGCAGTGACCTTAAGGGAAAGTGGTCCAAATACATCTGCAGGTTTCTCCTGGCTGTAGCACTGGCACTTGTTAATTGCACACCGGCCAGTGCTATTTGTGCATGATGCAAAGCATCGTTCAGTGTTAAGACATTCACGCTGGCATTGGTTGTGCATGTGCTCACGCACACTCACCGTTTCCACCATGTTTGCACGCCGGACATGCGTCCTTTCCCATCTTTGCGACAGCAGCACCTTCCGTTGAAAGGGTAGCTATCCCTTAAATCATTTCCAAAGGGTAAATGTGGGTATGAATTTCAAAACTTTCTCCTGTAACCAAAAAACAAAGTTCTCAGAGCTGAGCATTTCCCATGTTTTTCAGGTGATAACCGGACTTCTGCGCAGAGCAGATGAGGTGAGGAAGTGTCATTTTTCAAATTCTGTGTATTTCTTTGAGGCAGTGTCTTGTGCATCCAGTGTGATCTGTTGGCCTCAGCTGTCTCGGGCAGACACACTGCTCACTAATCTGGAGCCAGCTTGCTGCGGAGGGAGTCACCCGCGCCAGCGTCCTGCGATTCTGCCTGTTGTTCTTCATCCCCTTTCTCGGGGGGCGCCCCTGGCTCCCAAGCCGTGGCTTTGGGAAGTGTCCAGCCTCAGAGCAGGGACTGTGGGGAAGCCAACTGCACAACTTTCAAAGACCCACAGGCCAGCTGTGTGTGCTGCTTTGTTTGGCAGAAGCGTAGGGTGAAAGTACATGGGTTTTCTGGGATTTGTACAGCCCTGGAAGTGAGTGCAGTTACGGCCACGCTGGGGTTGCTTCGGGGGTCCTTGGCCGTTTTTTCAGGCGGTGAATGCCCCCCTAGGCAGATGGCTGCAGACAGCAGGTTTTAACCTCTCAAGGTGGGCGGCTGCGAATGGAAACGAGAGAGATTTTAAAGAGGGAGGACGGTGTTATTGAGGAAAGGAGGGAGTCATTGTTCCCAAAACCTTCTGGCAGGAGCTGGCAAAAACTCAATGAATGATCCAGATGAGATTATGGTGATACCCTTGGCAGCTGGAATTGTATCTGTTTAGGCAGTTGCTTTGTCTGAATGTGACAAGAGAAACTGCAACCAAGTCGGTATTTTTAAAGGTGTGCTGGTGTTACCAGTTCTGATACATCGGTTTTTTAAATTTAATGTGATTATAGTTGGCCCATGAGATCTCTGTAATTGAAAGATATTAGAAGAAAAGTTTTGGAGGCTTTACTGCCTAGTTTTTCTTCTCTATTTTTTGACTTACTATCTTGACGTAGCTTGGGTTGATTTGCAGTAGTGTAGCAAATTCTGCATCCAGCACTATTTTGGGTGAAATACTGCGTTGTAATATTGCCACTGTGTCACTTTAGGCCTTTAGCCAGGGAATTCTTGTCCTTCATACCACTGTCCTGGGACAGCCAGGGTTCAGCCCCTCATGCTGTGCGCTGCTTCCCTTTTTACTCGGGTATGTCCTACCCTTTTGCCTAGGCAAGGTATTCCTGAAACGCTGTTCCTAGCAGCCAGGGGAGCAGAGCATCGCTGTGTGAGCTGCAGAGGGCCTGTTGTCTGCACGTTGTAAAACATGTCTGAGGGAAATGAGAGAAGGGTGTTTGAGATGTGCTGAGACTCACAGGTGACACAGAGATAGCAAGGGAGAGCAGGAAGCGAGAGGGGTGCTACTCGGTCGGCACGGATTGGCAGTATTGTGGCACTGCTCGTAGCGGCGCCCAGGAGGGAGGCGGTGTGTTGTGATATATGATAGTTTACAGTGATTTGCTGACACGCATCAAGAAGCACAGTTTATTATGAGGTATAGTGTAATAACTTGCTCCTTCCACAAGCCCGTTCGCTGAACTGTGGTACAGAAAAATAACATGGTCAATGACTTCCAAAAATTAGACCCTCTGCTGCTTCATGATTTGGATGGTGGAGGAATCAATTAATTTCCTTAACTGAGGAAATCTCTTTGGCGTGCAAGGTCCCTCCATCGGAGGGGGATTTCTGCGGTGGTAGATGAGATGCGAAGCTCACGATGCCACTGTCAGTATTAAGGAAGATGGCAGATTGCTGACAGCGTCCACGCATGCGTTAGGACGTGGCTGCCTGCCTGCATGTTACAGTGCTCTTAATGATTACAGCGAGCTCCTCTGTACCCAGCTGGCAGCGGTGGGTTTGCAGATTCGGGTGCCATGTTCAGGGTCATTCTGTGTTACTGCCTCCTTTAAGGAAGTGCCTGGCTGCTTAGTGCCAAAGGGGTGGTATCGCACACAGCTGCCATCTCCACGCAGGAAGCTTGGCTCAGCTGATGCACAATTTCCTCTCCTCATGTGTCCAGGCTGTCTTCAGTAAGATTCCTATAGGATTCATACCTCTTGGGAAGACCTGCACTCTGAGCCACACGCTCTACCCTGAAAGCACGAACCAAGTCCAGTAAGTATTTCATGTTTCTGAAAGGTGGCTTTTTTGGTTTGTTTTCAAGGAGCATTGCTTCTTGGTAGCTTGATACTTTTCTTTTTCTTCTGTGTTACATGCAAGTTGGCAGTCTGTGGGCAGAGCATGATGATTCTCTGGACTTGCCTGAGTTAGTAACTTCCAAAAACTGACTGAAATTGAAAGAAGGAAATGTATGTATTATTAAAACATGGAATAATTCGCTATGGCTCATTTCTCTGTGATCCTCAGTTTGTTTTAAAAAACCCAAACAAACACCAAGGTCAGAAGGTATGACAAGGTTATATCAAGGATATGACAAAATAAACAAAAAAGGTGGTTCCCTTGCTGTTCCTTCTCCAGTTTAAGAATCTAGAAACCAGTCCACATATAACCTGGTTAGCACCTGCGAAGTAAGACACATACCTTTTATGTGGAGGGTTGGATCCCATTTCTGACCTCTGCAGGGTTTCTTGCCCATTCCTGTGATGGGACTGGTGCTGGCAACTCTCCAACAGCCTGAGTCTTACCTGTCAGCATCCCGGATACGATCCAGACTGGCAGTGTCTGTCACCTGCATTTCAGTTTGTTGTAAGCTTGTTTTGTCCACTTCTAAAGTAAAAAGTCTGGTCAACTCAGCTTGCTTTTCTCCACAGGTGATTTCTTTTCAGTTTTTTCCTTCCTCTCCTGCCATACTAATGAATATATTTCTCCTTGCTCCTGAAATCTGTTCACTCTGGTTCTCCTAGTAACTCATAACATCCTTCTTTGCGGAACCCTTGCTGGTATCCATCATACATAAAACCCATGAGCCAACTGGCATAGCATCCTTCATGAAAACTACCAGAGTGCTTTGAAGCTCAGCAAGATGGACAAGGCTGTAATCAGCAGCTAAGATTAAAATAATCATTTATGTTTGGGTTCTAAGGAAGCTGTTTGAAATGAATGATCTTCTTGTCCCAAGGTAATGAACTGTGCAGGTGAGACGGCAGCATATTGGTGAAGTTGAAAGGAATTTGGTCAACATGCTGCTTAACAACCCACACCAGTAACAAAACCTGACTGAAAAAGTGCAGAAGTAATGTTTTTAAAGGAAATATTTGGGCTCTGGTTCCTGCAGAGAAGGGCTGAGGGAGGAGCAGCTTCCTTCTCCATCTCGGTACTTTAAGCCTGATGAAGCCAAGGGCAATTTCTCCTGATTCACATCAATACTGGTCTGGATATGAAATTTGCATTTGGTTTTGGTTCCCCACCCCCCCACCCCCCCATCCAGCTGAGACACTGGAGTTGTGCACAATGTGAAATTTAAATTTTACCCAACTTGGAGAAGAATGAAGGGGGTTTAATGAAATAGATTTTTCAGGGTCTGAACCTAGAGACTTCTTGATGAACTTGGACACTTTGGTTACAGATTACTTCATGCCATGCTTTACAACATAAAATGAGAAAGTGCCTTTAGCTGCTGTCCACAACTTACTGGAGACCAAAACCACTGATGATAGGAAGATTGATGTTGATTAAGAACTTCAGAAGTAATTAACATACTAAGACAATTCAGTCCCAGACACATGAATCGAGACCAGTCTCATGACCATCCCCTTCTCTCCCAGGTTGTTGTACTTGTCACCAATGTAATAAACCCACAGTTTGGGTCCTTAGTGTGTTAAGTATCTGAAACAGCAAGTAACAGACCTGGCCTGTGATCTGCCAGGTAAGCTGAAGAAGGAGGAATCTCTTAAAAGCTTAGGCTGGGAACTTCCTTCTGCTTTTCATGTCTTTTGCTGGTTTTTTAGGCTTCGTCATGCGTTGCAGCCATCCAGTTTGCTTTCTGATTTCAGGGAAGTGCAGCATTTTGTCAGAGTTCTTTCCCTCGGGTGTTTGTGTTTGCTGCAAAAAAGACTCACCTGAATGTGTAGTGGGGTTTTCAGGGGAAAAAAAAAAAAAAGAGTGTAATTTTAAAGCTTTCTCTTTTCTTTCCTTCTTGTTTGTTTTCCTTTGCTTCTTTCCTGCTTGTTTTGCAGACATATTACTAATGCTACATTGGCCATTTTGAAAGGAGAGACGGTTCCACTTGACGTCTTGCAGATCAAGGTAAAAGCTTCTGCTTATTTGGCACTCAGTGTGCCTACAACTTTCCTATTCTCATGTTGTTCTGTTTACATGGACTGCTTTTCTTCTGTGTAATGCTGCCGTGAATTTTGATTTATGACACCAGCAGTTCTGGTGGCAGTCTTTTCTCCGCTGTATGCTACCACATCAGGTAGTCTGAACTGGAGAAAACACTGGAATGCCTGAGTGTCATCTTTTGAGGCTCAGAGGCTATTGGTGAATGCAGAACTTAGCATCACTGGTATTTCTGTAGAAATCCTGGGAGAGAACAATAGCTGTCTGAGCTGATTTAATGCATTCATATGTATTGTGGAGTTAATAGCTTTCTTTTACAGATGGAAGAATGTGAACTGGGAAAACCTTTGACTGTGCTGCCTATGGTCTTTTGAATATTATTTTTCTGTTATGAAGTAGAATGGACGTTTCTGCAGCAAAAACTTCGTGTCACCTGTGCAGAGCTCCTTGCTTTGGGCTGACAGTATCCACAAAATGAAATGGCTGTTGCTGGGTGTGCAGTTGTACTCAATCAACCTGTTCAAAACTTCACCTCTTATATTCCTCTCTGGGAGCAGATGGAATGTATAACACTTAAATTCTGCTTAGCTTTATTGCTGTTCGATATTTATCATACCTATTCTGTGAAATTTCACTTTTGGGATTAATCAGAAATCAGTTTTTATATGGAAATGATATTTTTCTAGCTTGGGGGAAAAAAAAACCCAACAACTTGGCAATATTTATTTTTCTTTACAGGGAGAAAAGGAACAGCCTGTGTTTGCAGTGACTGGTTTAAGATGGGGATCTTACAGAGATGCAGGAGTTAAAGTTAGCAAGTAAGAAAATACTGGTTTTTTGAAGCTCTAGCTTTTTTAGCATCCATTCCCTAGAAAGACATGCCCTCCTCATGTAAAAAAGTCTGTGTTGAGTGTAGGCATCTGACAGGCAGAGGCACCCACTCTTGCTAGGTCTTGCATTACACACAGGGGAGTCTAAGATACTTCAGCATTTTTGTAATTTGAAATAAACACCTATTTGGTGATGACCTGTTTTTTAAGTATTTACTTTCTGCTTGCCTTGTGGTGCCCACATCTGGAGCTTTATTCAGATTGTGTCAGTGGGAAAAGCTCTCCCTTGAGTAAAGTCTGAGTAAAGTAATTGGCCATTGTTCTTCATCGGTTGCCAATGAAAAGACACAAGCAGACTCTGTAACTCGATTCCAACGAGGGACATCAGATGCAGTAGAAATGCCCTTCAGTTCCTGCCAGAAATTGTATGGACTGTGCTGTCTGATGGCTCTTCTCTGAATGCTAAACTAATAACTGCTGGGCTTTTTCCAAATGGGCAATTAATATGCCGCTGCCTGCGTATCGAATGATGAGCATTAGCTGGTGAGGGAGCAGCAGGGCCAAAGCAGTTCACTTCTCAGACCGTTGTGGGGGAGTTGCAGCCCCTGCTACACAGCTGTGAGAAAATGCCGTGTGCTTTGGGAATGAGCTGTCTTTGTCAGGAGACAAGAGGTTACAGACCTCTGGAGTCGGCCTGGCAGATATTTGGGTAGGACTGAGAGGCGATAGGGAGTGGGGGAGATGAGTAAATGGCCAGGGTGTTTGTCCCTGGGAAGCAGGGACGTGCCTGGCAGCTTGTGGAGGTGCTGACGTGGCTGTGCTGCAGGCTCTCCTGCCAACTGCAGCCCCAAGGCGAAGGAAGAGCGCTTCTCTCCCCTCTGCCCTCTCACGGGGCTGCCCGCCTTCTGCCCTGCTTTGTGCCTGGTGTCAGCCTTCACGTCTTCTCCTGCAGCACTTCCCTTTTGCAAGTCTTTTGGACTCCGTGCTGGAGGCATAACAGCACTTTTGTACCTGGGGCAGCACCAACGTTTTCAAACCTCCTTCTCTTCCGTCAATGTTTTCAAGCGCACAGAAAATGCGCACACCTCAGAAAGCACTTGAGCCACAAATGAATGGGTGCTCAGGGTGTGCTTGGGGCAAGGGCCGTGGGTGCTTGTGCTGGTGTTTTACTTCTCTCCAAGCATCCACTTTTGGTCCCTGTCAGAGCTGGGTTACTGGGTAAAGGAATGTTTGGTGTATTCCAGTACAACAGATCTTGTACTTAAAAGAAGGCACCTACTCTGAAGGGAGTTGAGCCATAAGCCACAGTTCCAGAAATTTGTGTGGCTGTCCCTCTGCTAAGCACTGTCCAGGTGGAGACATGGTTCTGGTTTATGTTTTTGAGGTTTTATTATTTTACAGACAATTTCACGACTTGATTGGAGTGGTGTGACCGTTTCACACCTTAGTAGTTAACGGTACACTTAAATCTGCAGTACTCTGGAGCTGATGGTGTGTAATGTGCTTTGTTGACCTTCTTTGGTGGAAGACAGGGATCAAAATGTGTGTCAAACCTGCCTAAATATTGTCCCATCTTTAGATTCTATACAGTACTTCGTGGCTGGCAGGATTTTTATTTTGGAAAACGTTTATTTTGATCTGAGAATCCTTTGGGCCAAATGGATGTTTGGTGGCTCTGTTCTTCTGTCGCCGAAGCTACTGATTTTTCCTTGTTTCCTCCAACCTCATTCCTTATTGCATATCTTGAGGATGCATCCCACCAGCTGTTAGACCGCGGATCTTTAAATCATTCCCAGTTGTGCCACATGACCAGATGAAATTCTGCTGAGATCTCACGCTGCCTGTAGTGAAGATTGTATGCTGCATGTTGGTGATCTGTAACTCGGGAAGGGGTTGTCACTGTGAAGCTGCTGCTGATGTGTAGGAAGTACCTTACAGTATGACAGAGCTAAAGGTTGGGGGGGGCACTAACCTCAGTGGCAAACAAGTCTCTCTGCTCTGACTTCATGCAGGATTTCTCCCTTTCCTGTGTTCTGACTCCTGGATATGGATATCTTAGAAGTTCTATCTGTGTTATTTTTTCAGGTACTGGTACCTTGGGCCTCTGAAAACCAAAGCAGCTCACTTTTTCAGTACGTTTAAGGTAAAGAGTAATTGCAAGGAAAGCGTTTTTGTAGTTGGGAAATGAAAAGGCTGACTGTACTTTGTGAAATTTATCTGCCAGTTTTTGGGAAGGGTTCTGGTAACAGTATAAAATGGGAGTGAAAATCGACTTGTTAAAAAAAAGCATCAATTGATAGACTTACTTCTGAAGAGATGAACTGAACGGGAGGAGGAATACTTAAAAAAATGTTCTTTACTGAGGATCTGTTGCTGGAGGATCACCAGGGGGAGCCAGTAACCACCTTTGAGACTGGAGAGCGGTAGTGGTGCTGAAGATAACCATTAAAGTCCCCTGTCACCTTTTCTCAACAGCCTTTCTTGTGGTAACATTTCATTCTGATTTATTCATCCGGCAGAAGTGTCTATAATTAGGCTGCCCATGCACGTTGATAATCAGGCTTCTGTGTGTAGTACAGTGAACATGAAGATTAATAGCTTATATCGCACCTTAAACTTCTCAGTGCTTAAAATTGATCCTGGAAAGATGAGAATTTGACCTGCACGAAAGGTGAGGCATTTTCATTCACATGCTTTTCCTGCCCTCTGAACATATAAGGAGCCTCATGAAAGGCTGCGGAAGTACCCGGGAGCTGGTACAGCAGATCCCGTTGTGCAGTCTGGCCATGCTGTCTGTGATCGTGCCGGTGCCTCCTTTATAGGAAGCTCCTGTAAAGGGTAGGTAAATTGTAATGTGTCCATGAAAACTTCCTGCTCCTGTCCCCAGGAAATTGGAGATGATGATGCTGTGTGCTGGCATTCTAGGCAGAAACCTATTTCTTCACTTCTCTCCAGCCCCTTTATCACTGTTCTTGAGTCCTTAGTGACTCTTGAGTCAGCAGCAGTGACAGTGGATGTCACTGGTGAGCTGTTCATTGCACATGGAAAAGACCTGTTTAACCTACCGAAGGTTAAAGAGAAACAGCCACTTTTTCTGTTATTAAGATATAAAACTTTCTACCTTTTCCCCCCCGTTTGTGGTATTTAGTGCTTTATGTGCCTCTTATGTTATAATTTTGTTAATTTCTATAAGAAAAGGCTCCAACCTTAGACCTTAAGCTCTTCCCAGCTTGTCTTTGCTGCTTTGCGCTTTGTCTCTTCTGGTTTGGCGGTAGCTGTCCTTGGAAACAGGGTGACCTGTAGCTGAATGCAGTGTAAGGGGAAAGAGCTCGCTCTGATGTTGGTAGGGGCATTGCTGAGTGTTACCATCTTGTCTAAAGTATGCAGGCTTAAATTATCCCAGCATCGCCGCTCTTAAATCATTCATGCTTCCTGTTCGTGCATGGCACTGCTGATACAACCTCTGTTTGTCCTGTTTGTTATGTACGTAGGGCCGTGGAGTCTTTCCTTGCTCGCAGAGGTGTGAGGGGAATTAGCTTAACAGCCTGTGCTGTAGGATCCAAACCCACCTCTGAAGTTTGGTGCCTGGAAAAGTAATTGTATTGGGTACATGTGGGCTCTCGGCCGCGTTGCTTTAGTGTATACATTTAAAAAACCAATCATGTTATTCCCTCCGTAAGTCCTGTGTTTTAAGCATTTCAGAAATCAGTTTTAAAACAAAACAAGAAGTGCTGGAAGTATTTCAGGAGCCAAGGTTCCTCTGTAACCCCTCAATTTCTGGCACCGGAATCTGAAATATCACCGAGAATAATGTGTTACTTCTTTTTTTCTTTCTTTCTTTGTTTTTGTCCCCCTTCAGATGCTTTATAAAGCTCACCTGACTTGCCTTAAGACCTGTTGTATTGCTGTCTATAAGCACCTGACTATAAGGTCAGATCTTGATTGTTTGAGCTGTTGGAGAGCAAAGGGCCGCCGGGTTTTAGTGCCCCTGTGCTGCGCGCAGCACCGTGGTCTGTGCCTCTTTGCACCAGGCCCTGCTGTGCAGTTGCTCTTTGCGGCTGCCTTTGTGCCACGCAGAAACCGATTGTGCTTTCAAGCATGAATGTTGGGTTTGGTCGTTCCCTCCAGCCAGAGGCAGCTGGGTCACCCTGCCATGCATCAGCACCAGAGAAAACATTCCTCTACCCTTTGCTTGTAGGGGGGGAGATACCTCACTTCTCTGTGGAGGAGGAGTAGATTAGTAGGCTTGGGAACTGAGGGTGATCTTTTCCAAGCTGCAGAAATGTCATCTCACGTGTGAATCTGGAGGCTGGAGAGCCACAGAAGTAGGCTGAGGCAGCGGTGGGATCTGGGTAGCTCTGCAGGAGCACGGGGGAGCACAGAATATATAAATAGGCTAAAAGGCTAGAGAGAATGAACAGGGAGGTGCTAAACAAAAGGCCCTTTATCTTCTGTCTTCCTTTCCATGTAAATCCAAGGAATGGCCTCAGAAACATCAAGCTGCTCTCACGTATCTGGGTCCAACTGAGAGACCTCCAGAAGAGCCGGAGGAGAAACCGTCCAGACCTCCTTTGTATGTGAGGCTTTACAGGCGACTGCGGTTATACTGGTCATCCCCTCCAAAAGGTGAGGGGGGGTGTTGTGGCATGAACTCACAGGCCGGCTTTACTCCTCTACTAGGTCAGAGCAGGGGTGGGGAGGTGGTTCTGCTTTACTTTTCCGCTCTCTCATTTTTATATTATTATTATTTATTTATGATTTATTAAAAAACTGACTTTGTCAAGATGGCTACAGTGGTATCTGTCAGAAATGGACCAGAGTGGTCCTGCCAGTGCTTGTAGTCTCACAAACAATAGTGTGTTTGTAAGGAACCCAGGGCGTTCCTGGGCACACGGTTGCTTCCCATTGCTAAGGAACCCTCCACAGGTGATAATTGGCGCTTCTGGGAATCTTCCTCCGGTAGAACGAATGGCTTCCGAATGAGCTGGCGAGAGAGGAGCAGCCCTTGTTTTCTGGGGTGGGGGAGTTGCTGACACAGAGCAACAGATGTTACTTAAAGAGTAAAACTTGGGCCGCAAGTTTCTCCTACGACATTACATTTCTTTCTGTAGCCCAACTTTTCTTCTGTGAGCCTCTCTTGGGTGGGTTGTTAGCCCGGCAGTGCACGTGGCAGGCTGCAGGAGGAAGGGGAGCGTGTCTTTTGCGCAGCGTGGTGTGATACAAAGTCCTTCTCATTCCTTCTTGGGCAGCAGAGGTGATGTAGTCAGAAGCATGAACTGTGTGACCTGTATATAAGAACTGAACTGTGGAGTTTCCTCTTATAGAAAACCCACGTTACCAGAGCATTTTGAACGTTGGATACCTGGGCTTTCGCTAGCCGCGCTTTGTGTGTTTTCTAAATGTTCCTGTCCTACTAGCCCAGGAGATCTGCAAATCCCTGGGCACAAGGACTCACCGAGCTGCCATGTAACGTGCTTGGTAGCCTTTCCTGCTACTGTGTGAATTCTGGCAGTAATTTTTTTTTCTCTTCCAAGCTCCGTTTTCCTTTCTTAAGGTTTTAATGTTTGAAAGAAACAAAGCCAGTGGTCACAATGGGTCAGACTGATTTTTTGCAGCTGGTATTGCTGTTTCATGCTTCATAGCAGGGAAATGATGAGCTGTGTAATTAAATTCCACTTAATGATATCTTCTCTTCTTGATTTGCAGAAATCCCCCAGGAGGTAGCCCCAGAGGACTGGGAAGAGCTGAAGCTATCCGCCATTGAGCTTTCCATTGCAACTCGGAACAGGCAGCTTGATCTGACAGTAAGACCACAGTATAACTGGATTCCAAATGCTGCCTGCGTACACAGTTTTCCTTTCTTGCTAAACCCCCATTCTTGTGTCTATACAAATAAAATCTCCTACCCCATGCAAGGAGGGGCCGATGACTGAATCCAGGACTGGGCATGTTTCAGAGCCCCAGTGTAAAAGCACTGGAGACCCATGTAAAACTGGGGTGCAGTGGGATCAGGAAGGGTTTGTACAACAAGAATGTTTCATTAGCCAAATGAAAGCTTTAGGATTGCCCAGAAGAAAACAAAGCATCAAAATAGGCTCTTCTTTCCCTCTTGACCTGTGGGAGAGTGATTCTGTTTTATCAGCTGGTGCTGGAAGGAAGCTGAGCCTGAATGTCTGCCTCGAATTGTGACTTTTTGTGTTCCTTTTGGCTTGCAGAGCAAAAAACTAAAAAGAAGTGGGGTTGTAGAAGGGACAGGGGGCTCCGCTGAGTGGAAGGACAGGAAATGCAGGTGGTTGTGGAAGAGTAGAACCAAGGGAGGAAGGGAACTGTTCCTGTCATAGGTTTCTCAGCACTCTCATACTGTTTGTTCACTCTTTTAAAGCCTGTCTTTGGCTTATGTGTGTGTTTTGGTGCAATTTTATTGCTGGAAAAGTTATTTGGATAAATGTCAGTCTTTAATTTTCCTGGAAAATGCTAACACAGTTATCCCGAACTGGTGAGCTGCTCTTCATGTCTTCCTCATGGCTGCAGGAAACTGCTGCCCACTACCCCCAGATGAACAGCAGATGTTGAACTTACTTCATCGTGTTTCGTGCTCAGAATTCAGAGTATTTAAGAACCTGAAAATTCGTGTTATACTGATACGTTATCCTTATGGGATCAGACAAAAAAAAACCCAAAACAAACACCTAGGCAAATCTAGTCTTAAAATCTCCTCCTGTTTTTTCCTTGAAATGTGCCACATAAATTTTAGTTTCTTCTTCACCAGTGGCTTATGAATTGGACCACCAGTGTCCTAGGAGTGGAAGAAGCTCGATGGAGACTCGTATTTGGGCGTGTTTTTTTCAGTGGTTTCTAGGTGGCACTTGAACAGAACAGTTCTGGTCGCTGAACTGAATTGAAGTCAGAGATATAAAGTGAAAACAGACCTGCCAAGAACTAAAAAAGGACCTCCTTGCCACAGACCAGCCCTGACGTCCTGGGTTTTTCCCTCCTTTATGCCTCCAAGGTGCACTTCAGTACTGGCATTGAACACAGAATGGTGTAGGGTTCTCAGGTCCCTTGCACAGCCGAGAGATGCCCAAGTTTATGTTAGGGCAGTTGTGCTTTTCTGTTTCTAGAGCTGGAAGTTCTCTTCATACTGCATCTCTTTTTCTACGCGTATGGACCCCTTATAACTGCTTTTAACTCCTGCTCTTGAAGCCATTGTCCCTGTAGCCATCAAAGCTGTCTTGAGTCGATACCAGTGCATGTCTGCTGAGCACTGTCAGCCACTCCTGTCCATCTTTCTCACCTCAGGTTCATGCCTGGGCGTGAAGAGGAGCCGATCTGTACAGGTGCAGCCCAGGCAGCGCGGAGCCTACCTCGGCAGATACAGCGAGGAAATAAAACCAGTTACACTAACAGATGCGTTTATTTTTACTTTTGACATTTTGACTGCATCTGCACTAGGACCGTTGCCAGGACAGAAATGTTAAAATAAGTAAATAAAAAATGAATTGCATCTTAATCAAAGATGCTAAGGGCGAGCTGTAAATAGAAAAGAGGCTAAGTACAGACTTCAAAGGAATGGTGGCAGGAACACTTTCGCCTTCTGATCTGCATTGCTGAACATCCTCTTACTCTCGTGTTTGGTGGCCAAACGTTGCACCTCTGTACTATTGCTGAAATTCAAGAAAGATTCGTTCATTAGAAAACTCTATGAACAGAAGTAAGCCCGAGTGACCTGCTATTATGCCTTTACTAAGTGTGTGAGATGTAACAAACAGCCAAACGTGTGAATCATCATTTCACTTCTTGTGCTATTTATTGTCGAATCGGTGACAGTGAGACATTGCTGCCTTAACTTATAATCTGAATCTCAAGGCAAGAGGGGGAAAAGGGCATGAAATGCATCTCCTGTCTCCTTCTGTGGGACAAAGGACGGGACGTTTTGTGAATGTAACGCAGTGTCACGAGTGTGGCGGTTTGAAATGTTAACTACTTGGTTTCTGCATCCTTTTCTGCCTAGCGCATGGAAGACTTCATGGATATCTGCATTGAAGCAGATACGGTCAGCAAAGGACAGTTTGTAAACAGAGGGTGAGTACGGGAAGGCTGCGGAAAGGTGACACAGTCACTGTATGAGTCGGAACACTGATTCTCAGAAGTGTCCTGGGTTTGTCTGATCTTGTGCTGCAAAATTTAGCAGCAGAGGACTGCGAAGGACACCAGTCAGCAATGCTTCATGGGGATTACTGATTTTGTTCTGTAGAATCCTTAGTAATTTTCTCTGTCTGGACACAAGGCAGAGCAGTCTACCTGGAGTTCTTTCTGGCTTCTCAGTTTGCTTATACCTTTCATCTTTTTCCCCACAGCTATTGGTTGGTGCTACTTGGGTAATACTGTCATAAGCGAGTTTTATAGACAGCCAGACAGACTTATCACTGGAATCTTTTAGCCCCAGCTGCTCAGTGGATTGTGAGGCAGGTCACAGAGCTGAATTTTGGAACTCTGATTAGACAGGCTCTGCTTCTGAGTGAAGAGCTCCCTTGATTCAATAACCCCTGTGAGAAATCAGGTTGGAGCTGGAAGAACTTTTGGAAGATGTGAGTTTAAACAGGGACTTTAAGAAAATGTATTAGCGCTGCTCGTACGTGGAGTAAGAAGGCTGCAGGTATGAAGCAGCAGCATGTAGAGTAGCAGCAGACACGTATTGCTTCGTTTGTGCTTGGAGTGTTGTCTCGTAGTGCGGTTGTTCTGCTCCCACCAGATGCAAATCTGAGCTGCTTTTTCCAGCTTCTCCCTGCAGTCCCACTAGCAAATGCATTGCATCTTGCAGTTTTTACCAGCAACAGATTTTCCTCCTGAACCCAAGAGTGCTCTTCTGTGCTTTACCGTTTTATTTGCTAATACTGTTTTCTGGTCTTAGAGCTCCCTCTAGTGAAAGCAGTGGAAAGATTCTAGTGGAGGGTGTCCCTGTCCATGGCATTGGGGTTGGAACTAGATGAGCTTTAAGGTCCCTTCCACCCCAAACCCTTCTGTGATTCATTCTGTGATTTTAACAAAGTTTTACTTGCTTGTTAATCATCCTAGTAATTCCTGCGTGTATGTCTTGTTTATGAGACTAATAGCAGCAGCAGGCCCCTTAATTGAGCATCCCACGAGCCTCAGTGGGTATAGGATCTCCTGACCTATGCATACACCGTAGGTAAGGTCAGCACCTGCAGCAGCTTTTAAATTGTGTGGACAGTAGGTTGCTTGGGACTGAAATCTTTGCTTTGAAGGTTACAGAAGGAAAGGAGTGGGACATTTTCCCAAGAGGAATGTGACCTTAAAGGAGGGAGGCAAAGGAGATGCTGTGCTGGGTTCTTGGACACTTTGCTAACAGAAAGGATGCGGATGAGTCTGTGTGATCTAAGGGAGGGGTATTGGAGTGTACAACCACTGTAAAGAACGTCTCCCACGTGGACTGGACGTGCCTCACGCAGTAGTATGTCACATTTTCTGACTGCAGTTACACTGTCATGCAGAAAAAGGCTCTGATGAGAGTTAACGTGCCCTGCTGGGTAGAGCTAATTGTCAGCAGTACCCAAAGCTTTGAGCTGCTGTTCACGCAAAGTTCAAAGAAACAAGCTCTTTTGATTAAATAGTGCCCAAAAGTCTATAGGTAACAAAGAAGGAGGGGTGTATGGGGTGGGGGAGCAGCGGGAGGATCTGGTTAGTCCTACAGAGAGGAGTCGGAACGGAAAACATGTGCCCTGTTTTTGCAAGGCAAAATCAGGGTCTACAGAGCAGCTCTCTACCGCACGTGCCCATTGGCAGCCAGGTTTGAATCAAGCCCACTGTTAGAGACTCCCCAGCGCCTGGCATCAACAGGGTTTGTCTTTAGAAACGTGTGAAGGAGCTTTCTTTTTCCTTTTTTAATGCATAGTTTAAAACTCTACCAGAATTTGGGGCGTTCAAAGGATTTTAGCGGAAATACCTTATCAGTGCAGATATCAAGGTTTTTTACACTGAAGAGGGCAGTGCCACCAGCTGATAGGGACTGATGGCTCACACAGGAAACCTCACACCCAGCAGGACACTGCCATGCAGGCTCAGGCAGTGGGGGAAGGGGGGGCGGGTGGGAGGTGCATCAGTGCTGGAGGGCAGCCGCTGTTGGATTGGGAAGAAAGGAGCAGGTCATCCGAGGTGGATAAAAGTGCCCCCCAGCTGTGGGTCAGATTTGTGTGAACAAGAGCATCTGCAGCGGGGCTAGAGCTGGTGTTTAAGATAAGGTGGGGAAGGACAGGCAGTGTTTACCGAGAACTGCTGGAGGGAATGAGAGTGTAGCACCATAATCCACATCCTGCGAGCCAGCTTAGCTTCTGTATATGGAAGTATGGAAAGCTGTCACTCCAGGGCATGGATACACTTACCAGCTAGGGTGCAGGAGACTGGTTTTTTTGGTTAGAGCCTTAGTCTGAATCGTTTAACTACTGGCGGTGGAAACCAGGTTAAAATCTCTGTTATCTGCAGTAGGTGTTGTGTTTCTCTCCGCCTGTAGTTTTGTGATTCAGCATGGGGAGTGAGATAAAACAATCAATTGAAACAGTTTCTGCTAGGCTTTGGTCTTGCTCCTGTTTCGCTTTTCTGTCTTGCCTTGAGTAAGGAGCGGAATCAAATGGAAGTGGTTTCTGATCCTTTTATACTGGGTCACTAGAGAGGCAGTTGCTGCAGGTGGGGTTGTGTCTATCTCCTTCTACCAGCCTTCTCCTTTGACTGATCTTTAGTTCCACGTCTTGTCCCCTTTGAGCTTACCTGGGCCCCATAATTGCACCTATGCAGAGCCTCATTTACCTTCATGTGCCAAAAAAATCTGCTTGCTCACCCGAGTGCAGTTTCTAGGACCTTGTATGTTAAACTCTGAGCAGGAAAAACTTTGAGTGGGGAATCATGCTGCTTGTTTGTACAGCACTCTATAAACTGACAGTATTATGTGCCATCAATGATTTATAATTTATATTGCCAGAAGGTTGTTTAATTCCCTCACATTCACTCATTAATCTTTTAGTATATACATATTTGATTAAAACCAAACTTTCCACAGTTAATATTCTTCCGTCCTTCCCTGCCCTTCCCTTCGGTCTCTTCGTTTTTCTTCCTTTGTCTTTGATTATCATCTCCCATTTCAACCCTCTCTTCTCATGTTCTTTCTCTGGGATTTTCTGGGATTTTAAGAGGTGCTTGCATTCCTCAGGGCATAGGTGTCTCGGTGTATAGGGAGTTTCGGATGTGTTTCTGTGACTTCTTTTCCTGGACAATATTGAAATAAACTCTTCTTCTTTCATGTCAGTCTGTGGAACAGACAGAAAAGTTGGGGGCAGCTGGCATTGCCTGTGGAGGAATATCTGTGGTGCTCTGCCGTGGTTGAGAGCTGTGATACATTAACACTGTAACCCTCTGCTGTCCCTTTTGCTATTTGTGTGTTGCTGTCTGGCTGGAGAGGGGCCCAAACTGAAGGGTCACTGCTTGGGGTGGGGTGTACCCTTTGTCTAAGGTCAGTCAAAAGGTTACATGTGTTTTCAGCCAGGAGGCCAGAGGTAGGTCGGAGTACCCAGAGCTTGTCCTTACTCCGCAGCAGCACACGCTGGGAAGAGGAATTGCAGCACGCTATTCTTGAACAGTTGGTCCAGTGACTGGACAGAAACCTAAGTCTTTGTGCTGGTTTGGGCTGGGATAGAGTTAGTTTTCTTCTCAGTAGCTGGTACGGTGCTGTGTGTTGGATTTGGACTGTAAGCAGTGTTGATAACACAGGGATGTTTCAGTTACTGCTGAGCAGTGCTTACCCAGAGTCAAGGCCTTTTCTGCTCCTCACCCCACCCCACCAGAGAGGGAACTGGGGGTGCACAAGGAGTTGGGAGGGGACACAGCTGGGACAGCTGACCCCCACTGATCAAAGGGATATTCCACACCATGTGACGTCATGCTCATACATAAAGACCACATGGCACTTGCACCGCCACCTTTCTAAGACAAGCGACTGCCATCCACGTTCTCCCATTTGACACCCACAGAAGTAGGAAAGTGGCACTTCTTTAAGTACAGTATGTAAATAAGAATCTCACAGGCACCAGAAGAGAGACTAGCCAACAGAAGCAGGTGTATTATTTGGAATGGATAAAATGATGATGTTCTGGGGTTTCTTGACGAGAGTCGTATAGAAGCAGCTGGTAAGAAACATGCTGACTGGTGTTGATGTGAGAAGAGGGGGTTGGCTTGTTTATTTGGGTTTTTTTAGATGGTAATTTAGTGGTTCAGTATAACTGCAAACCTCTACCTTTATTTGGCTTAGGGTTGTTTAGGTTGCTGGTAAGTTACATGGGTGCATGGGATAGGAGGGGACGGTAGCCATCGCAGGAATTGTGCGGGTCAGCATGGAAGTGGGGAGCGCAAAACTGTGCTGTATGTTCAAATGTACACAGCTGTATGTTAAACATGTTCAGTGAGCCTCAGAGCAGAAGGTGGTTAGGGGCTCTCAGTGCAGCAGAAGGGGAATGTCTGGTTTACTTTCTCACAGTTGAAGGCACAGATGTTTGTATATATACATAACCTCTAAGTTTACCAAATGCATACTGATTTACCCAATGCACCGTGACATGTCGCCCCTAAAGATGGCTGTTTCTGAGAGAAACAACTCCTTTCCTTACCTTACCTTTCTTTTGGTTTGAACAGGAGTCAAAAGATGCGTGATCCGCATACGTGCCCTGAAGGGAGTCAGTGCATCCAAGCCAGCAGATGCCTCTTGCAACTTCCAGAGGTGAGAAGCTCAGGGAGCTGGAAAACCCTGTCACTTTTGCCTTGTACCAGTTGGTGCTGCACATTAAGAAATTCCTACTCCAAATCTGGGGGGTTGATGAGACTGCCAGTGAGACGCTCTGTTCCTCAGTGCAGCGACTGAGTCCCTGGCTGGGAGACACATACTGGAATTTCCCAAGGGGTCTGTAAACCAGAGGGGGAGCTTCGTTCTGCCATTAAACAGTGGCAGACCTTTGATGTAGACAGTGGTGGTTGTTGTAAAGGGTCTTTTACTCAGGAGTATTGCATATGCACACCTCCTTCTCCTTGGTATTGAAGATGTGTTTATGTTTTACCTTGGAAGGGATTGTGCTGTAGAGAAGGAGATAAATACTGAAAGCTTTGTGGAGACCAAGGAGGGTGAGACAAGGCACTGGGGCACAGATCACTGTACAGAAGTGTCTCAAAACTTTGAATAGATGAGGCTGAAAAAGAAGCCAAAACTGTGTCTGCCTACGTGATTTAGATCAGTCTTTCATCACCTCTTAGAAAAGAAGAGGCTGTTATTGCGGCCTTGGGGAGGAGAGTTTCTTGTCTTTACAAAAATGTGAAATCAATGTTGTAGATAATTTCTTTCTTCAAGTGATCTGTCATTCGGCAAAATAATTCCGTGTTAGGGGAGAACAGATCATGCCGAAGCTACCAAGTGAAAATCATGAATTATGAGGTCATGATTAACCAACATCCTAATAGTTCCATCAGACCCCTGTTGTGGCAGGTTTATGATTCTGAAAGCATACTTTGGAGTGCTGGGCTGAGTTCAGCTGAGCCGTAAGTAAGGGTTGTGGTATGAAATGGGCTGTTCTTACCACAGCTGCTGCTGAGATCTTCAGAGTGTGTGCGCATGGCACAAAGCAGTGCTCTGTGACTCCATGACCTGAGGCAGCTCAGATGAGTCTCGCCAGCTTTGAAGAGAAGCGGGATATGTTGATCCAAGTGGACTGCTGTACCTCTGACTTCCAGAACCTATGCTACTTTCTCTGATCTGTGCCGTTCTGGTGTACGAGTTCCCTTGGAGCTAGTTTGAGTATCCCCGCAGCCCACAAGCCTCGGTGTACTCAAGTTGTCCTCCCCTGAGTCAGGTGCATGCAGAGCAGTCACCAGATTTGTTTAGAAAAAGTCAACTTGCCATTTTGATGAATGACTTTTAATCATTGGTGACTTTATCAGCGTTAAAGAAAATGCTTAAGAACATTCTACTGCTGGGTAATTCCTGACCCATGAATTACTTTGCATCTCACGTTTCGGATCAATATTAGTAAAACAATACTGAACGGTGTTTGTAACATGGGTTTAATAGGAGGTATTTAAGAGGCACTTCTGCAGATTAGCTTGTGTCACCACTGGCAGACCAAGATCTAAGTGCACGTAATTGTAGTTCCAATAGCAAAGAATCCTTCAGTATAAACAATGGGAGTCATTAAAGCTCCCTAACATTTAATTATCACCAATTAGCAACTGGGTGAGGTAACATCTTATGCAACAGACTCTTAATACATTACATGCGGTGAAGGAGAGCTCTCACTGTGTTGTTGAGCCCAAATGGGCTGGAAGGCACAGGGAGGGGGTCATCTCTGTTAAGGCTCAGCGAAGTATTCAGCTGTAGTCCATTAGGAAAATGAGGAATCGGTGTTGCAGCATTGCTGAAACAGTCTGTTTGATGCTTGACCCTCACGGGCGCTGTATCTGTACACAGGGCACTGAGGGATCCTTTGGCATTGATAACGAGGAGTATGAAGCTATGCCTGTGGAGGTGAAGCTCTTGCCCCGGAAACTCCGGTTCTTCTGTGATCCCAGAGTGAGAGAGCAGATGATGCTCGCAGCAGCGCAGTGAGAATTCTTGTCAAAGGGGCCATTGTTTACCAGTCCTACCAGGGTCTCTTCCAGGCACGTGAGGCCTCACCAACTTGAGTAACCCCACCAGACTAATAAGCCGTTTGGCTGTTTTTATGCGTACGGCACTTCCATTGGAAGTGGCTGACTTGGCTAGTCTCAAAGGGGTTAAAAATGCAAGTGAATGTTCTGATAAATGCATGTTAACTTGATGGCATCTTTTTTATTTTCCCCAAAGAAGTCATCACTGTTCCATTTACAGCACTGCAGGCTGAGTGCTGTGTGCCAGATGTTACTGCTTTAATGCAATTGTATATTAAAGGAAAGTGAAAGCACACTTGTCCTTGTCTTTTAAGTGTTTAGGTCTGCTTCAGTGATGTATAAATCTCACAAAGCCTGGGATCTTGGAAAAAATTTATTCTGGGGGAGTGATGATAAGGAAGTCTATGAAATGTTGGAACTGCCACACTAAACAGGTGGTTGGCTACCTACTCGGTCAAAAAAATTGGAGATCAGTGATGCAAAGCTTCAGAGGAAGCTTAAGAATTCCCTGTATGTATCTGGATATTTATGGGTTTTTTTTAAATCTTGCCAGATTCAACAGCACAGAGTTCCAGTTAATAACATAGTAGAAATATATTCCTTTGGGCAAGTTCAGGTATATTACTCAGAAGGAAATTGGAAAACGTCATCATTGACCGAAAGCTGTATGAAGTACATATGAAGTACTCTTTAACGAGCCAAATGAGTCTTCTTTTTTTTTTTTTTTTAGTTCCAGTTAATAACATAGTAGAAATATATTCCTTTGGGCAAGTTCAGGTATATTACTCAGAAGGAAATTGGAAAACTTCATCATTGACCGAAAGCTATATGAAGTACATGTGGGAAGACTCTTTAATGAGCCAAATGAGTCTTTTTTTTTTTTTTTTTTTTGTAAGTATTCCTTTTATTCCTGCAGGAGCATAACACAAATAAGGGCATCCAAACAACTTTTACTACTCGTTGTGTCTGGTTGCTCTTCTCTAATGTAGAGTGCTCACCGCTCCGTACGCAACCTACATCCCCTTGAGCCTCAGCACTGTTGCTTTTCTGAGCTTTTGTTTATAGCTTCGCTTTAATTGCTGCAAGGAAATATTACTGACTTAGGCAAGGTTATCTGTTGTTGCCCTTCTGATTATAACTTACAAGTTCACATGATTCTGTCTTGCTGACTGGAAGAAAAAATAAAAGGATCCTTATTTTTCCGACGCGATAGTTGTTTGTACGCAGTCCTAGTGTTGCACTGTGACCTGGCCTAAGTCCAGCTGTCGATTCTTTGCTGTAATGGAAATAGGGACATTGGAGCATTGACTTCCAGCAGCTGTGTTGAGGACTGGGTCCTGGCTGCACGCTGCTCCAAGAGCATCCTCTGCTGGGGACTTGCTAAAGGAAACATGCTTTGAAAGGGGAAGTAGGGTTGGTTTTCTGCACGATGCTGGAACCAAACAATGCTCTCCTTCCCTTGACGTTACTGTGGAGAAACTAATTACCTAAGCTATTGGGGCAAGCACTCAGCCCTTTCTTGACTAAAATCTAGGGGAGTAGCAGCCTGCTAGTTGTTTTTAATAGTCCTGCTGGTGATAGGGCCTCTGTTGTGCTTTCTCTTGATCTGCAGCAGTTAAGAGTGCCCAGGGGACCCCTGGGTCACTCTCCAAGGAACATGCTGGCTGTGCTCTGCTCTTTTTGCTTGCCACAGAGACGCCTGGACCGTTGCCCTGCAGCCACTGGCTCATTCAGAGTCAGGGGCAGTTCTCACCAACTGAGGTTTTCCTCAAGCTGATGTTTCTGTAATGAGATCAGCAGTGGGTTTTTATTCTCAAGTGGCAGGAAAGACAAGGCAGCAGCCATTTCCAAAAGGTAAGCTTTAATTGTTTTAAAAAATACCCATGTTTTAGTAAGCAGTTTCTACACAGCCACAGGCCTATGGGAGCGACCACACATCTGCAAGATGCAAACAACATCAGAGCTGTTAGAACTACAACCAACCTGCTGCAAGAAAGATGTGAGATGATAAGAACTAGCTTCTGGTTCATTTTACAGGGAAAACAACTCAATTCTCTTCCAGAGGATTAGACGCACAGCTCCCATTGCAATGTGATTTCTTGCTTGAGGGGTAACCGAGAGCTCCCTTCAGAAAGGGTGTTGTTAATGCTGCTCTGATGGTCACGTACCAAGGCTCATCTGAGACGTGGGCCGATATTTAAATATTCATATCAGCATAAGTTGAGTAGCTTGTATAAATACCATTCAAGTCATTTTGCCTCTTCCTCTACAGCTCAGAGGTCTTCCAGTGTGGGGTGGTTCTAGACCTCTGAATTGCAGCAGTCAGAGGTGAGGCGTGAGGAGATATTACGTAGAATAAGCAGGGGCTGAACCCACTCTCCACAGTGTTGAGGAGAGGACTCGGTTTTCATGTTTCTGTCTGACAGCAAGAGAAACAAATTTCTTTGTATAAACTCTTAAGACAGGAAAGCGGAGTAGAATCCTAGGTCCCACTCATGAAAACACTTACCCTGGCTTCAACTTACAGTCCATTTTTAGAGGGGCTTAAAATACTACAACAGAAATAAAAAGGAAGGATAACAACCTAATCACGGACAAGCCCAAGGCACCTGTTTATTTTACCCACAATTAAACATTCCCATTTGAATGGCATGTTGCATTAACCGATACCCAAAATCCTGGTTCACAGGCATTTGGTACCCCCTTATCATTCTGTGAAGTCTGTACATTCCAGTCCCTCGCAAAAGACCTGGGGGGGGGAGGGGGTGGGGTGGAAAGGAGACAGCAACTAACTCAGAAGTAATAGCTGTGATGAGAGAATTTGGGTTAGTGTGCATGTTTTGTACCTACACTTCTGCATTAGGACAGAGTGCTCTTGCCCTGCTGTTCCAGAAACCACTGCCTTTCCAGCTCCCAGCGCAACGCATGTCTGTCCCTTCCACAGTCACCAAGAGGGCCGCAGCTACTCCTAGCTTTTTGCCCATTAACTCTGGCAGTTCTTAAAAGGGAAGAAACACTGCTTTACAGAACAAGCTGCACCTGGCAGTTCTTAAAAAGGAAGAAGTATCACAGTCACACTGCTTTACAGAACAAGCTGCACAGTAAGCTGTTTTCCCTTGACAAGGGGATGGAATGTGCTTCTGCCCTTAAGGACACTGGAAAGGCACGCTCTCCCGTGACGCACGTGACCATTAGATCTAACGTACATTGGAGTAACTACTTCATATATGCTAGAAAAGGTATTAGCATGTCTCTAAGAGAAATCTGAACTCTGATTCGGTAAAATGCCTTTCTCCTACTATCCGTTATAGTTCCTAGTTGTATTTGGCTCTGTGCATCTTGGCAGTGAGAAGACTCATGCATGATTTAAACGTCTGGCATGGTATTCCTTCTTCAGATTGAAAACCTAGCGGTTTTTTTCCTCTCCTAAGCGTTACCTTCCAATCCAGACAGTACAAGTAGTAATAATTCACTACTTGGTTACACAATTCTAGTGCAGCTTGAGTTAAGATGCAGTTACAAAGCTTATGCTCTCCTGTGCCAGCTGAGAACCTGCAGTGGCCATACCATGACTTGGGTGTCGGAGCGGAACCGAGCAGGCCCTGCCAGGGCACAGGCTACAGACACGATTATACACACACCGTTCGGCCTGGGCTCGGATCACAAGCAGCCACCAGAGGCGTCACGCTAATGAAATTAAAGGCACCACTGTAAAGGCAAAGTACTTCAGACGGAGAAGAGGATTTTGTAGTAATCAGCAATATCCTACCTTACACCACACTTTCCTCCTTTTAATTCAAAATACACCAAGTAACTGTCTCCCTTCCAGCTGCTAGTATTCAAAAAAGCAACTACTAAGTGCTAGTGAGGGCACCTAATACAATTCAAGGTTAAAACAGCTATTTCCTGAAAAGATTAGTTTCAGTTAAATTGGTTCTGAACAAACCCAGCCTCCTGAACAAGCCTTCATGTCCCAGGCTGTAGCCATTTGTTTGTATTTTGTGCCCATTTATCATGGATTATCCACATGCGACAACAGTAAAAGCAATGTCTGTTAGCGAAGGAGAGTGCAGGTGGGAAGTTCTTTTCCAGCAAATCAAACAAGGAAGGGTTAGGAGAGAGAAGTCTCTGTTCTGTTTCTGTCTGTCAGGTTCCTGACTTTTGTAGCAGTCACCTGCCAAGAGTGGCTGTGGAGAAGCAAAATTACAAGGAAGAGTAAAATGGGCTGTAGCCATCCAGCTGGGATGTAGCATGGATGCTACTTTTACAGTAATCTGCCTGCTTTGATGCTTCTGCACTCACACTCCTGCCAGCAACTGAAGGCCTAATGTCTGCGAGGCAGAAGTTTAATAAACGTCAAACGGTAACTTCAGGAGGTTCTGCTCGGCGGGTTCTAGCAGTGCTGCCTTGCAGACCCCATGTCCTGACAGCTTGTGAACAGTGCTCTAGCGCTGTCTGCGCGAAAGCCGCCAACTGCAGAGGCTGTACAGTTTTAACGACAAAGGTTTGTTCTTGTTTAGGTCAGCAAGGAGCCGCTGACATCAAAGAGAACAGAGAAGTCATTAACAGCTGACCACAACTAAGCTATGTAGCAAACCTTTAAGAAAGTGAGAGGAAGAATTGCTGGAGACTAGTCTCAGTTCCTTTTTTTGTGTCTGAAGGAAGTGAAGTAAGTGACAGTAACACAGTGCCAGCTATACTTCCTCAGGGGTCCTCACTGCGGGCAGCATGTTAAAACCGAAGTGAAAAAAGCATGGAGATTGCAGGCCACTTCGAAACTGATACCTCTGCTATAAAAACAAAGCCTTTTCTCAAGGAAAAGGGACTGATCTTTCCATTACATGATATTCAGCTCCAGGTGTTTTTTTTTTCTTTCTTCATTTTTCCCCTCAACTTTCTAAGATGAATGCATTACAGCTGTGAGCAACTGGCAATACAAGCAGCACCGTGTTTTCCCCTGTACAAAAACGTCCAAAGCCCTGGAAGAGCAGGCAGGGGAGCGACTGCTCGGAGACAGGCAGGTCACAGGAACAGAATATGCAGAAGCTCATAGCAGTGAAGTGTGCAATAAGCTTTGTGAGGCCCTTGGTCCCACGACCCACTAAAACCTGAATCCACAGCAAGCAAAACTACCCCTTGCCGCAGAGAGCAGCATGGAAAAACAGGACATGCTGGCCTCCTTCCTTCCAGAGGGAGACAGTCCACAGAGTGTCTGCATGGGGGATGTTTGCTTTGTGGTTTTAAAAAGAATCAGCAAGTGAGACTTTGGTGGTTTGGGCTCTGTCTTGTCCTGTGTCATGCTGGGATAAATGGCTATGTCGGCTCCAGCTGCATTTCTACAAACTGCAGGCGGGCTCCAAGGTGCTGAAGTCTCTTACGGTGGAAACAACAGCTCAGTAACTACAGCCACAGTTCAGGAAGAACACTTGGCTCCAAGCTGATGGTACTGCTGGCTGCAGGAGTTTGCGCAAAGCGGTACGTCACATCAAGAACCCACGGCACCGTTCCTGGATTTCATATGGCGAAGGGATAACCCTTCACAGGGACAGCCTTCCTGGAGGGAACCACTGGCCCGTTATGAACTGAATCCTGTTCTGTCCAGAGCACAAGAACGAGCAACACTGTTCATCTGGTCCTGCAGCTTCTCCGCCCAGGAAGAAAAAGGCTTGCCGTTAGACATTGCTCCTGGCAGCCACACCAGTTCAGAACACCGAGCTCCAAGGGAACCTCCTGCAAAGTGCGATGCCATTCCTGAAAGGTGACCTGCACTCCGTCTCACCCGGAAAGCCAAGGACAGCGGCAGGCGGTGCTGAAGGCTGCTTCGCAAAGGAGGATCAGCAGACATTGTTAAAGCAAAGGAGAGAGAAATGCATCTACTACAGAGGAAGAGCTAGTGACGTTAGTTAGAGCATACGTGTTAAACCCAATCCTGCCCAGTGCCCTCTGAGCTGAGGCTGGAGAGCGTAGCAACTGCAAGGTGGCTCAGTGATGCTGGTCCCTGGTAAAGAGGAGACCGTCTTGCTGGTTTGAGGATTTTGAACCGAAGCAGCAGGTGTGAGGCAACTGAAAACCAGAGGAAGTGGAAGGAGGGATGAAGTAGAGATGGTGCTCATCTCCAGCTGTGAGACAGGTAGGTGTAGTCTTTGCCAGTTTATACCACCTCAAACGCTGGAAGTGAAACCGTGCTGCTCCAGTAAGTAAAGTCATAAGGTCCTGTAGCACCCCTCTATCCCAAACGTGCTTTTGCCATTGACGAGGAAAGGTGGCTTTATTCCCACGCAGATTCTAAAAGTTGGGTGAGGGGTGTTTAAAGGAGTCCTGTCTTTTATCATTGGTTTAACTGTCCCCACCAGTAAACATGATAGGACAGGAGATGTTTTGTGAGACTGGGCCGCTAACAGCCTGTGCTGGAGCACTCTGCAGTCCCCAAGTGGAAAAAGAGATGATAGGAGAGTTTTCCAGTCAAGTCTTGAGAGCTCAGATACAGCATTTCACATTGGTCCCCATCAGACAAAATGCTTTCCTGTAGTCTTCAGCCCTCAGGTATCCAGACTAGGCCAAAACCTAGCTGTCACTGCGACAGCGAGGGCTGGTGCAAAGGTGCCACTGGTCCCATCTAAACAAAACATAACAGAAACGAAAGAGAAAGGGAGACAAAACCAAACAAAAAACCAGCTGGAGGAGGTACTCATTGGGAAGTTGAGGGGGAGAAAATAAAATCACATTTTGTTTTAAAATTATAAATACTCTCCATATAAAGTTATTAAATAAAATGAGATCTGTCCAGTGGCTGGGGTGAGTTCCAGTGATCCTCCTAAGCAATGCCTGCTAGTCTTTAAAAAGTGATTTTTGCTCCCCATCTCTCTTGCCCTTGGTTTAAGTGCAGCAGGGGTTATCGATGACCAGCATAACATCAATGCCATACACTTCCAGCAGGTCCATGAGGAAACTTCGATCCCCCTGGGGATCCAGGCCCATGCCTCGTGCGTGGTCAGCTGTCAGGGTCTTGTCCTGGCTGGCTGACACCTCCATCAGCGTCTGAAATATGCGGTTGTTCTGCTCCATGAAAAACCTATAGGATAAAGTCCATTGAGATGATGGCATGGGACCCCCCAAAAGACAGCGTATTTACCAACCAGTCAGCAGAGCCCCCGAACTGCATTTAACCCTCTTTAGTCATAGATCCCACCTTAGGTGACACTGCAGTACTCCGTCTACCCTGCGGCTGACCCAGAATACACAAAGATAGCACAGTGACTTGTAATTGACAGCGGTGCTTCTGTCTGGCTGATTCATGGTAGGCATTTCACTCCTCAGAAGCACGCCACGTTACCGGCTGGTGTGTACTTTGTGGTATCCAACGGTACCTCAGCCCTAGAGCTCCCATGATGCAAAGGAGGAAACAGCGCTGTCATTCATCTCGTAAGCCACTGGGTAAATAAATGGTCATTACTGGTACATGGCACAGCAGTGAGAGCTACCTCTTACCTAGTGCATTCCTAGGAAGGTGCAAGGCTGTTCCAAAGAGCTCTGACTACATCTGTGCAGCTCAACCCAGAGCTCTCCCACCCCAGCCCTTCACACACCTTCATCCCATTCCTTCTCACCTGCTGCAGACTCTGAACAACAGCAGCAAGCAGTGATGGGCTTCAGAGGTGGTAGAGGTGTGGTTTTCACCAAATTCCATACCTCATACTCCACATCCTGTCTGGTTCTTCTGCCAAGCACTAAGCAAGCCACTTTCATGGGCCAGTCCTTCACATGCAGGCCTTATCTCCGTGCTGTACCTCCCCCAGCATGGTACAGTGTCTGCTTCCCAGACATTGTCCTTTCCTGAGCCAAATGTTCTGGCTTGAGAAGTCCTGCGGTGCTTGTATTTTCAAACATGGAGGGGATTCTTTCATTTCTAACTGTGTTTTTATAATTCCCTTCTCCCTCCCAGCATTTAAGAGACCCCAGTAGAAACTAATATGGCTGTATTTGGCTTCCCAAATCAGAAGGAAGATAATCTGAAAAGGAAGAGCCAGTTTGGTTCTTGGATTGCTAAAAGAAGAGAGCTTACTATGGAATTACATTAACCATGATGTTCCATACTATGCCAAACCAGCAACATGAAATCCATGATAGAGGCTCCCTAAGCCTAACAGTGACCAACTAAGTATTAGAGGCAGCTACTCACAAGATGAAAAGGTCCTCTTCACAGGAGCTACAGTCCTCACCCACTTCTTGAGAATACATTAACATCTGCCTGAGAGAAGGGAGACACATTAAATATAGATACCTACAGCAGACCTCAAAGCATTCTGAGAAGATAAGGATCACAGCTAAAAACTTCATATCCATTTTTTGGAGACAAATCAGACTAACACAGTTGCCCCGGTACATGAGGCGAAAGGGTAGTCGCTGTAAGGCATCAGAATAGAAATCAGGCTGTTTTCAGTTCTGCCACTGATCAGTGGTGAACCAGGTGAGTCACAACCTCTGCTTCTCTTCCTCCCTTCGATCCCCTCCGTCAGCTCAGTGGCCAAGTAATCGTACGTGTGCAGAGTGCCCAGGGGCTCTCCTACCAGTCAGCTACAGTGGAACCAGAATCCCAAAGAGATGAGCTGAAGCAATGGGAAATTTTGAAAATACTAAGATGAGAAGGAAGGTACAAAGGAGCAGCGTCCTCTTTATCCCGTGTCGCACTGCTGTCCTATCAGGGCCAGGACCAGCCAGACGTCTCTTATTACCTCTGGTCGTTGAGCCGTCGGTACTTCTCCTTGTCAGCATTGTTAATTTTCAGGAGTGGCTGCAGATGCTCATGATGTGTCTTCACATTCTGGTTGTCCACATAGACATCATAGAGATCCCGTTTCTCCTCAAAGATCTTTTCTGTTGTACCTGCCAAAACCAGAGAAGATTTTCAGAGCAGCATGTTGCTTTCCCTGCAGACCAACTGTTCTCTCCTGTTTTCGTAGTTAGTCATTCCATGCACATCCTATTTCTCAGCAGTTCTATTCTACAGTCTGGTGTCTCAAGACATGTTGCAGCCTGAAGTTAAAAACGTCACACCTGCTCCATCGTACTTACAGGCCACATATGATACTTCTGTCTCCAGCATTTCTATGTCTGCCACGTTCACGTAGAAGAACGGTTTGGACTCTGGGACAGTTCCTCCGAGGCCAGGTAGAGAAACATTGGCGAGGCAACAGCAACAGTACACTGCAGGAAAGAGAAGTACATCCTGAGATGCTTCCAATATTCCCTCAAGGGCATTCTGAACCCCGCTTACCCAGTTCTCCCACACATGTCCATGAAGACAATGGTTAGAGCTTGGAAATGTCCCTGAACACCAGAACAACTCAAGAGGGGACATCCTATTTTGCACAGGAAATAATCAGTTCTCCCACAGGAATCCCATGTTCAAGATTCCACAGATTCATTCAGGACTCCTGAATATTGTCCTGTGTGGCAGGAACTATGTTTGACAGTGCCAGGTACGTCCTCACCCAAAAGGCCGGAAGAAAACCATTTTGTAGGAAATGGGGAAATGCATGCTGAACGGTGTCTTCCCAAGGAATGGTTGGGATGGATTTTGAAGACCTATCCCCCCAGTACCCACAGGCGTTCCTGCGGTACTTCAGCCTACTAGATCCGAGCTCTCCGGTGTCCCTGGAAACATACCTCTATAGCAGACAACTCCGACTGGGGGCGGTGAAAATATCAATATGCGCTTGCGCAGCAGGGCAAACTTCCAGAGGACAAGGATCTGCTCGCCGAAGAATTTGATGAACTGAGACATACAGCCAGCAGGGTGTGTGATCTGCAGGTGGAGGGAGAGGGAAGAAAACAGCTCCGAGGTGAAACAGGGACACACGCACAGATGCTAAGTCTAAATGTGGGAGCAAGACCAGCACGCAGCAGCGACAGAGAGCTGCAGCTTCTAACAGCCCAAGGAACAAAACCTTCTCTCGAGCAGCCTGCAGAGCGCTGGAGCGGCTGCTCGTATGAAGTACGAGACACCAGCAAGGAGCAGCAGCACACTGCTGCAAGCCTCAGAGCGCCTGCCTCACCTTCATCTCTGGGTACATGTATCTGTGGATGGACGGCAGCCAGTGTACAGGTTGCTGAGAGGTGGGGGTGCCCTTGCTGTCAGGGAGAACCCCTTTCTTGTCATCATAGAACGCCTCTAGATGGGAGTAGTGCCCTGGCATCTCTAGCTGGTGTCTGGAAAAGAAAGGGGAAAAGGGGAGATGTGTAGCGGCTCCAGACTAGTTATTTGTGCCTCACCCCCAGCCAACATCTGCCTTCCCAGCTCGCAAAGGAGCCCTGCGTGCCTCAGCTGCACCCACTTATCCAGGAGGGCAGCCAAAGCATCTGGAGTAGCACCAACCCCCAGTGCTGCCAAAGACCACGGGCGGGAGCGAAGCAGACAGCGAGGTGACGCATGCGCAGGACTGATCCCGTTTTAAAACGCGCTCAGGTAGGAACAGCTTTCCCTTCCACCGTCACCATTTTCCCTGCCAGGCCCACTCAACACGGCCGAGGCACACACCTGGCCAGGATAACCATCGTGTGTTTAGAAGGCTTTTGTGAGCCCTTAGTAAAATGGTTTTCAGGAGAACAGAGGAATTTCTTGTCCTCTCGGCCTTCCTCACAAAATAAGGGTTTGGATAGCATTTGAGTAGCCTGTTAGCAGTGAACAGACAACAGCTAATCAGATCCTTGTTTCCTTCCCGTTGTGAACCTGTAACCCCTTCTGGAGAGGCTGGTGCTCGAGGAGATCACAGCTCAGCATTGTAGCCAAATTCCCACTCATGCCTAAAACCGCTCCCTGGCGAGGCAACGTTACCTCTCCCAGGCAGGGAGCGGACAGTCCCATTCCCAAGGGAGCTTACCTGACCTGGTTCTCCAGGAAGTGCATGTACCTATACAGCAGGGTGTAGGAAGGGGAGAGAATTCCCACAGACTTCATGCGGGCACCACGCTCTAACTCGCTCTCCACAGGCATGTTGGCAAAGCAGGCCAGCCCAAAACAGAGCCCCTTCCGGAAGTAACTGGGGATAAACGTTTGACAGAAGGGTTAATGTTAAAAAGAGGGAAGGGGAAGAAACCTATGTACTAAAAATACTGATCTGGGAATGCAGTTCCTTCTCAAAGGAACCCCTTGAGATCCCACCCTGCATCTGAAGGGCTGAGGGCAGGCCTCGGGTGTGCTAACCTTCTCAGGAACAAGGCAGGACATGTAAGGCAAGAATTCCCAGTGCCTCTACCACTACAGCCCCTACCAGCCACGTCACAGGCTGATAAGGAAAGCAAGCAAGGAAGGAACTCGGAAGGATGACCAACAGAGGATGCAGGACCCAGTCAGCGCAGAGCTCTTCTTCCAAGGAGGCAGAGCCTGCAGTGCGTGACAGTGTCGTGCAGCTACCTAGCTGTATCTTGGGCGCCAGCACGTGGACGCATACTCTAGCGGAGTGCAGGGGTAAGTCCATGTGCCTTTGAGAAAGTAACTGTTATTCCTGACCAAAAGGAAACTGCTGCGTTGCAACACTGGGGTTAGTAAAAGGATGGGAAGGGAGAAAATTCCCAGCTTATGTCTTTCCACTGAAGGAAGGAGCTAGCGGAGAAGAAAGTGAGCAAGGACATGTAAAGGATCCAAAAGCACTGGCAGAATTAACCTTTTTCCAGGTCCAGTTCATGCAAAATCCTGTTTCAGCTCTGCTGTCCTCTCCCTAGGCCCCTGCTGACAGTCCCGAGAGGGGCAGCGTGGCACGATCTGCCCAGTACGCAATAAAACTTGCATACCAGTGAGAAGCTGCCCTGCCCCATTCACCACCCGACCTCCACAGCCAGAACTGTCATACAGCAGCGTCCACACAGCTAGCTGGTACGCCACACGATGTTGAGGGGACCTGAAGGGTTTCTCTGGCTCAGCTGGATGCAGTTTAGCAGCATTCCGATGCAGGAACTTAACTTCATAGATGGTATTTTTCTTGCACGTTCTGAATTAAGGGATGGTGGTGCAGATATGTCGCTAAGAGAAGGAAAAAGTAATACAGCTCAGGCATACTCACATGAAATCCGACTGGATTTTGTGGGACCCGCTTGCCATGGATTTGAATTCCACACCTTCCAAATCAATATCTTGGGGTAAACACCACTCTACCATGTTGCCTGCAGAGAAGCAAATTTATCCGGTTAAACGTGGACACAGTACTCATTTCTGAAGGGCAAACACCAGCAACAGCCAGTGGTTGCTCTTACATCACTGGGATGCCGGTAACAGCACACCGACGCCACCCCTGAATTGTCGCAGGCGGGAGCTGACGTACCGAACTCCAGGCGTCTCTGGCAAACGGTACTTGTTACAGCGCAACACCCGGATATTGCACAACTGTTTGAGCTGTTCTGAGGCTAGTGCTCCTTTGCAGGTTTATCCTTCCCAAGCTTCATCAGAGAGCAGCTGCAGTTTTACCTGACAGTGGATGAGCTGTGGTACTATTTCTGTTCCGCTCAGGCTGTCCGCATGAGTATCTGACACAGAAAGACCCCAAAGTGCTGACTGCTGCTCTTTAGGGTGAGTTTCTGTACAGAAACTCTATAGCTCATACCACCATCAACGTCCTCCTTCGGCTGGGCCTAGCAGGGCTGGTCAAACAGGAACTCCCTAAGCCAGCATCCCGGTCATCACTACTTCTCCCTGGAATTAAGAGTAGTAGTACTTCTCTCATGTTTAGTTTAGGAGAGGAGGAGTTAGCTTCAGCTTTATATGGAGACGGAGGTGATCCAAGTAGTGCAACATGTTTGTGCGTGCTCGACTAGCCAAACAGAAAAGCACATCAATTGCGAGCTAGATCAAGATCAGCAAACATCTGTCACCTGCCATCCCAGCCAGAAGGCACGCAGGTCCGGTGGAAAAGGCCACCTGAGGAGCCTGATCCCGGAACAGATGATATCAGAGCACTCGCAGAGTCCCTAAAGCTGGTGAAGTCCTGCCCTGCCACTGGCAAGTTTATCACGGACAAAAAGGGGGGCTCCTCAGGCTTTCCCATGCCAGCACGTCAGAGCCTAACCCACTCATCTGGCAGCTCCCACTGCACGGAGACGTGCTCCAGGTTTCCCCACCGAGTTCCCGGTCTCCGGCAGCCTGCCCATAGCGACAGCTTTGGAAGTAACTTTGTTTTGACCACAAACGCTCTTCAGTACAGCGCGAGGGCAGATGCCCCTTGACAGTGCTCTCTGCTGGTGCAGTCCTTCCACCGCCCTCCGGGTGCGCATCCAGCTGCGCTTGCACGGACTGCGCGTGTTTGGAAGGGCCTTTCGCTCAGCTGAGGCTTTTAGAGAGATTTAAATAGGAGGCCTCCTTTCTGAAGCCTGTTGTGGCATTACTCATACTGCACAAGCGTCTGCGTGCACTCTCGCACAGGATTTGGGCTTAGCTACTGACATTTAAACAGGCTATTTTTCTTCTCACACAGACACGGTGTTGAGCAGACCTCCCCCAACCCTGCCTGGCAAGGACTTCAAAACCCCAGCAGCGTGAAGGGTGGCAAAAGCAGAGTTTTTCACCCAACCAACCGCTTGTAGTCCACGAGTAGCCCTCTCCCGCAGAGCCGGGCTGGCTGGGGAGCAGCGTCAGCCTTGTGACCCCGAGCGCAGCTCTGCAATCGCACGCGAAACCACAGAGCTCTGCTGGGAAGCATCTTCGCCTCTGAGGCGTGTGAAAGGCTGGCAGGGAAAGCCAGTGACATCATGTCAGCCTGCGTGGTCCCCCGTAGGTTTTGCACATTATATATAGATGTTGACTTTTGTCGTTTGGGCTTTTTGTGTGTGTGCGTTCGGCTGTCTTTTTAAAGGCACAAAACCCTCCCTTGAAAGAGCAAGGAGCTTTTAAGACTGTTGCCTCTTAACCACAACACGGTGGTTTAAGGCAAGATCCGCTTTTAAGTCTTGCATCACAGAGAATCACTTATTGGTCGTTAGCTATAGATTAGTATAGATCAGTACCCAAGAGCGCCACGGAGCAAAGGGAACTGTCTGACTTTGTTCAGTTTGGTCAAAAAACCACGGTGTCAGGTACAATACCCACCACAGAGGTGCTCAAGCGGGCATGGCCCAATGTCTGTTCTGCAGCAGCAAGTAAGGAAAAGATGCCTTGAAACAGGTCCTCACCCTACGCGTAACCACAAAACCAACCAGCGTGTCACACTGCTATTTTTTTCTGGGCTCTGTCGCCGCGAGCCGACACAAGCAACCCCCACCTGCGCTCCTGCTCCTCGCGCCGCCTCGCCCTACGAACGGCCGGCGACGTGGCAGTCGGAGAACAAATGCGGAGATTAAAAAAAAAAAACCAAACAAGTAAGAAAGGCGGTGTGGTGCAACAGTAAAGTAAACAAAGGAGAGACTTCACCCCAAGGCGAGAGCGACTGCCAGCCTGCCCCAGGAACCGGAGGAGGGTGCAACGATGTTGTAGAAAAACAGGAAGCGTCACCCTGCCCCGCGCAGAAAGCGGCTCTCGTGCGCGCGGGAGGCTGTCCAAGTGAGAGTCACCCGGCGTTAGAGAGCAGGCGAGAGGTTTTGCCGAGAGTCAGATCTGCAGATCTCCTGGGAGCTATCCCCCAGCTCCAGGCAAGTCAGAACCAGCACTCCTCAGTTTCTGGTGTGCAAAGATAAGGATGCTCTTCCTCTTGTATTTTCTCTCCCCTGGATTCTCACATCCTTACAACAATCACAGTGGTGGTCATCTCCTGGCCCTCTTCACCATTAGATGTTTCCCAAGATCTTCAGGGTCCCCAGCTGTGCAGCGTTGTGCGAGGGCATGAGGAGCACAAGACGTGACCTAGCCATCACACCAGCTCCATTTCCTGCATGGAAGCAATGCAGGACAGAATATTTGTATGTTTGCTGGTGCAAAATGGATTTCTTCCCTCTCGTCTCATCTCTCTCCACTACTCACATCACCCTTTAAGCCAGCAGACCTCCAGAAGGTTGACTGTCATCATCCCCACCACAGAAGAAGGGCCAAGAAGGTTCAGCGGCTTTTCTGCTATTCTGACTGAGTTGATGTGGCCATGGACTTTGTTTCATCCTTCTTTATCTCCCTCCCAGAGCATAATTTGTTGTTCTGTGTTCTTTCGCTCGCTTTACCCAGGACAAGTTGGCGTCTCGAAAAGCACGTGCACTCGAGCCTCATGCCAAGTAGGTCACACCTTCCAGATGTATCCTCATTGCTGCCCATGACAGTCTTGGGTCTTCTGTTACCATTAGGGTTAGGGTTAAGCAAATACACACACTAGGAAATTCAGCAGCCTCGTTAAAGCCCCTTGTGACCACACTCTTTAAGGGACAGCGTTTGCACAGACCCCATGCTCGCACTTTCTGAAGTGTCAGAGCATTCCCAACTCACTGCTCCCTGAAGGAAGGGACTGCCAAAGGGCAGGGAGCAACGAGCAGATGCCGCAGTCGGCTCCCGGGCTGCCACCATTCTGCACTTAATGTACAGTTCACTTTCTGCACTAACGCAACAGCCATCTTTGTGACAGCAGTGAAAAGAGCTCCTCAACTGCCACAAGCTTCACCATGCTGGAGGTGGGGACAGCACCACTGATTTGGAAGCTGCCTCTGGATCCTTTGTTCCACCATGCACATGAGAATCGACGGAGTCCCAGGGACACCGGAACCGTAGCAGTGGCCTGGCAACCCCCTAAGCTACCTTCGTAAGCCCATAACATGCAACTGCTACATACACTGAGCTTGTCTGTTTCTAGCCCTTCTAAACTTAGGAGGAAAGCTGTTATGTCCTTTATTGGTGTACTCACCACCTCCTCCTTCCACAGTAAAACACCTCTCACCCACCTGCTCACCTGTATTTGAGTGGACAATACCTGGCGTAATGACACTCCCAGCCACCACAGAAATCCTGCCTTCCACGCGCCCCTGCAAGCTACCAAAGGAGGTCTGCTGTGCTTCTCGTGGGCAGGATCAAGCAGTTTCCAGCTCAGACACCGAGCGGATGATGTCCCAGCTCCAGGCCAAGTCAGAACCAGCACTCCCAGTTTCTGGTGTGCAGAGTTAAGGATGTGCTTCCTCTTTCTCTTGTATTTCCTCTCCCTTGGATTTTCACATCCTTACGGCAATGGTGATGGCACTAGCCCTTGATGGGCATCTCCTGGCCCTCCTCACCATTAGATGGACACCCTTATGAACATTACAGAAGTCCTTCACGCCACCTGATGTGGTTGACTCGGGAATTTCCCCACCATCTTTCTGACCCTAGCAAGCCCACAGCCCTGCGGCTTCAAGATCTCTTTCTTCTGAGCCCACATTCTCCATGGGGCACCTCCACCTAGGAAGCTGACATTTGTTGATGTGTTCCTCACAGTCCTGTCACGCTCCTCACACTCAGCATCTACGCCGAGTAGCAGCGGGAGGCTGGCTCTTCCCGGACTTGACAGACTACTCCAAGGCTGCTGACACCCAGCATTAACTGCACATCAGGTGTGAGAAGAGCTGTTTCCCAACTTTCCCTGGACTTCATTCAAAGCAACAGCTGGTTCACACAAATTCCTGAGAAAGCTCAGCTTTCTGCCAACCAGGAAAATCTCACCATTTCGTAGAAGGCATATGCTCTCTGACTGAAAGGCAGCCTGCTGTCGCTGCAGTCATCCGGCCTCTTCCATGTTTTGGATACTTAGGAAAAACACCTCCCCTTTCCATCTCCTGCTGGACAGATGACATCCAATCTCATTTTGATGAGCCAAAGGCCTCTGACCTCTAGACTAAAGGCACCTCTCTCTGGTGCAGCGTGAAACAGGTAACCCCCACAGCCCACAGGTGTCTGGGGACACAGCGGCCATGCTGTTCAGCAGTGTGGATGTCTGACTGCCCATCACACTGGGGCTCCCTTCTCTTGGCTACTTCCTTGGGACTTTCAGTTCAAGACCGGGATTCAGTCTTCACTATCAGGGCCCTCCTAATGAGCATGATGTCAGTTACTGCCCCCTTCCACAGAAGAACCCACCGTGCTTTACAGAGCTCTTTCGCTATGGACTCGCTAAGAAAGTGTCTGTGGAGGAAAGAGCTTGCTCCCAGATCCGGATGCAGGTGGGCTCCTGCATCTCCCAAGCTACTTCCTACACTCTCTGATAGTTCCAAGACTTTCAGCTCTGTCCCCC